TAGAAACAAAGCAAATGATCTTATACTCTAAACTTACTCATTGTTCAACTCTAAAGCCTGATACGCAGCTTTAATCCGGGCTTGAGGGTTTCTCTCTCGCCATGCTTTCTGCATTACTGTTGCAAAAACATTTAAAGACTGGTGAGACACAGACAGGCTGGGGAAACAGCTGGTAGCAAAGCAGAAAAGGCGAGGCAATGCTGGCTGCTCAAGTCTCAATTCTGCATTAACACCGACTTCTACTTTGCAAATTCCTGTTTTCTGTGTAACTGTTGTAGGTAATACTAAATAAATGTTTTAACTCCTGCAAGAGCTTCTACCAAAAGCAGCAGAACCTTGTACCTTCTCATGTCACAAACCTAATCTGAGATAGCAACACCATCAGGAAGATTATTCACTGACCATTTGAAAACTCCTACACTGAGAAGCAAAGACAGCTTACATAACCAGACAGATGTACAATTTCTAAATTGCTACAGATTTTGGAAACATTTCCCAAGACTTGTTGAAAGCTTGGCAGGAGTGATCATTAAACACAGGTTCTTGCACAGACCTGCACAGAATTTTAATTTAAGCTTTCAAACAGAGCTTCAAAGAAACAATGGTAGAGGTAAGCGCTGTGTTGCACAGGCATACTTTAAGTATGAAATACGCATAAAATGCTTCAGTATTGAGACAGCTGCCAGATAATAAAGGGTTAAACAGCTTTTTTCTAAATTTACAAAGCATATCAGAGTGGCGTAGCCAGATGGCAAAGCCAATTCAATATACACTATATTACCACCTTATTAGAAAGCGTTACAGGAAGCAACTAAAAAGGGTGAAATCTATCCCTAAACCTTTCCCCACTATTCTTCCATTAGGGAAGAATGGGAATCCCAAACTGGAAGCCAGTTTCTAGCAAAAAACACTCAACTTACTTATAGCTACCATTTTGAGTGCAGAACTAACAGCTTTCACACCAAGTAACAGTTCTGAAATCAGTCCAAAACCTTACGTTCGTGGAATTACATATCTGGCCTATCTCAAAGTATGATAAGAAAATTGAGGAATCTATACATGTTTCTTTTGGAACAAAACCTTCTGCTGTCCAGCAAGAACACCATGGAAAAATGTTTGAGTTTTCTTTTGGAAACAAAATATTAGTCTTGGCTTCGTAAGCGAGACAATACACTCCATTTGTGAAACAAAAACACATCATTCATATCAAACATGTCACAGCTAGCTGACGCGTAATGCTTCCGGAACTTGACAAATTGGTAATAGCTAACACCTAGTCTGACAATAACCAGGTAGAGAGCATACTCTGCACTAAACATTTGGAATACAATGACAAAACAATGGAGACTGCACTATTCATTATTGTAGTTCAAATAAGACCACTTCATTGGTTACTGAAAACCTGGACAGTATTCTCAACATCAGGTTGTTAATTATTTAAAAAGCGTGAGATCTTAAAACATGTCAGGATCCTGATAGTCTTAGATAAAGCACAAAGTAAAAAACGTCTTTTCTCTGACACCACCTATTAAAGCTCCTAGATAGTAGAGAAAGGCTATTGCAGAAAATATTTGACATGACAGCTTGTACTACCTTGAAGCGTATTAAATATAGCCACTTTACACACTCCAACTGTTATGTGCCTTGTGCATACGACACTGGTACCTGTATCTGAAGGCCGGAGGGCATCTGTGTCACACGTGAAAAAGTTCTGATGGTCTTGAGCAGACAAATTCATGTCATAGTATGTAAGGGGCTCCTTCCCAGTCACCCACGTGTATCTTTCAATGGGAGAAAGTTCAGTAAGATGCATTGCTGATGCAAAGGAGGATATCTGATGTACTTAACAACAAGCTAGTGCAGATTTTATTATTATTATTAATAAAAGACTGGAGTTACTAATCAGAAGTTTTCAAGTACTCCTGTTCCATAATCTTAACAGTTTCCCAGCAGGCTTCCTGCAGAAGGAAAGTCTTTTTGAGGCTGAAGTCCTAATCAACTTGAAAAACGGCTTCCTATGAAGCAGCTTTTTCTACAAAATAACACTAGGAGACTTAAATACAGTTGTATCTGTTTAATAAGAGACATTTAAGATTCGGAATCAGTCTCAGCCTCTGAATAAAACAGTAACAGCTGTAAGATCATGACTTTCATAGTTTTTGAAAGAAGATGAAAATAATTCCGGGAATACTTTTCTCCTACTTTACTCTCAAATAAATGATGATATTTACAATAATATTTGCATTCTTAACATTGAAACTGCCAAAGCTTGGAGAGGTGCCTTTTAAACACAGGATTGGCATCAATCACCCCTATAATCTCACAGGTTTCAGCTGTCTCCCAATATTACTAGTTCAAGCCCTGCAGAGAAGTCATGTGTATGCTCCCAGTTAATTTTAAAAGCGTACAATGGAAAGTAAGATAGTTAATACCTGCTATACTCTGCCCCTCTGAAAAGATTAAGAGGATTTCGCCACACCTTGCACTCTGAAAAGAAAGTATTTACTGAGTTAAGAGCAGAAATATTACCACCTTGATTTAAAATGCAGTAATGCAAATGCAATCTTACTTTAAAAAGCAATTTTTATCTTAGGTTTATTTGACCTGAGCACAATCATATAACCTTTATAATCTCCCTGAATTTCTCCTATCACTTAAATATTTTTGCTCCCCACCATTGTTGTGGTACAAAAGCATATGTGGGAAAGATTAAAGAGTGCCTTTTACACTCAAGCAATATTACCTTGCACATGTTTAGAATAGCTAATACCTAATGTTCCTTAAACACTTTTAGCTGAACGTGTGAGATATTTTCTAGATGATGTTTTTAATAATGAATGTTTTAGATCAAAGATACATTATCACTTGATTTCTTTTATCATATTAATAAAACGCATCGTAAGGCAGAGGCCTTTCCCCAGCTGCTACAAGCACTAATGCTGAGTCAAAGCCATTTAAAACTCAACTCATTTGAACCAGCCGCCTGCAAGCTTAATGAAAGCTGTTGGGACACATTAACAATCACCTGGCATATTCTGCCTGTTTGCCTCATTCTCTCCAACTGAGAACGCTGCTGGTGCTGGAGGGCTGTTTTCCACACCACCAATGAGGGGCCTCAGATGACTCACAGATACCTGCTCGATGAAAGAGGTGCCATATTTTCGGAAATGCCACCACTCAAATACCTGTTATGGGAGAGAAAAGCATCAGAAATTTCCTTAGGGAACACCCTTTCAACATAAACATCAGAGATGAAAAGTAAATTGCACAGAACGAGGACATCCCCTTGCAAATTATTACAGACAGGACCGATCTACATACAAATTAATACTAATTATCTCTTTTGGGCCTGTCTTGTCATGTGGAATTACCCCCATAACATAGAAGAGATTGGAAAAAAACATAAATATTAGCCTAATCATATCACTCTCCCCCCAGGTTGTTAGGATAACTCCTAAACCCTTTCAGAAAGTGCCTTGATCTTATACACCAGTGCTGTACAGGGAAATTGCACCCGCAGGCACAACGTGGACATAGCTTTTTCACTTTACAAAATTAATCCCAAATAACAAAGCACGAAATGGACAGCTAAAAGAAGCCTGAGTTCCTTAAAACAGATTCAAGTTATTTTCCTCAGATTCACCTAAGCATACAAGATGCACAGTAAAAGGGTACTTGTAATAAAACTGAAAAGATGCTCGGCAGCAAGCTCCTTTGTAGTACAAAGGCACCCTCTAGAGTCCGACAGCAGCCTGCTGCCTTTCCCCTTAGCCAAAGCACCTCGGAGGCGCTGGGTTTGTCCTAGGAGCGGGGCACAGCGCGCTACTTACAAATATCAGCCCAGATATGAAAGAGGAGGTCACTGTGAGGGCAAAGTAGAACTTTGGAGTCAAAGTGCTTAAGAACACAGTCACTGCGAAGAGATACAAAAACAAACAATGAGTAGAAGCGAAAACCACAAGGAGCTTTTTATTAAACACCGCGTGAAGCGCCACACAAACGCGGCGCAGCCCACATCGCCTCACGGATCGGGTTACTTTAACGGAGAGCCCTTTTAACTTATTCCCGCCGCTCCGTCACCGTGACGGCTGACAGGCTTCAACGCGACCCCCCCAACAAAAAATCGGTGTAAAATCCCACCGGGGCCGGTGTCAAACCCCAACAGGACCCCCTCGGGCAGCTCCCCCCCGGCTCTCACCGGCGGCCAGCCCGTCGCGGAGGCGCAGCGGCAGGCGCAGCAGGGCGTACAGCAGCCCGAGCCCGGCGGCCGCGGCCAGCAGCCCCCGAGCCCAAGGCGCCGCCGCCGCCGCCCTCCGCCTCAGCTGCTCCCAGCGCCTCAGCGCCGCGGCCGCCCCGGGACACGGCGGCCCCCGCCCGCTCCCGGTCCCTGTCCCCGTCCCGGTGCCGCCGCCGTCCGCCATGGCCGCCGCCACAGGGGGGACGCCGGGAAAGAGGCGGAGCGCGGCGGGGGCCGCCCTCAGAGCTCAGCGCTCACCGCTCGGGCCCCTCAACACCCCGCAGCCCAGCTCCGGTGTCAGGCGGGGACCCCGCGCCCCGTTAGGTGCCCCCCTCACACACACACACAGAGCCCGGGGCCGGTGCTCGCCGCCCCCCCCCCCCCATTCCCCTCAGCACCCGCCCCGCCCGGCCCTAAGATGGCCGCCCCGCGCTGTTTGCCCTCAGCCAAGATGGCGCCGGCCGCGCCTCCTGCCCGGCGCCCAGCCGGAGCGCCCGGCATCCTCCGCGCGGCGCCGGGCCGGGCCCTGAGGTGCCGAGATGGCGGATCTGGAGGAGCGGGTGTCGGACGACGAGAAGGTGGGGACGGGACGGGACGGGGCTGGATGGCACGAGGGGCACCGTGACAGGGCTGGTGCCGCAGCCCCGGGGCCGCCGTGACGGGTCGGTGCGGGCCGCCCGCCCCCCAGCGCGGCGCCGCCTCACGGCGGGGCTGCCTCACGGGGGTCCCTCACGGGGCTGGGGGGGGGGGGGCGCGGGGCTCATCGCCCGGTGCTGGCGGCGCTCCGGGCAGCTCCCCCCCGCCACAAAGGCCGGGGCAACCTCCCTCAGGCCGCGAGCAGCGGCGGGGGGTAGCTGGAGGCAGCGCGGCCGCCTTCCTTCCCCTCCTTGTGAAGAGGAGCTGGGTTTATTTATTAAAATTCCCCGGGTCGTCAAGGTTTGGGGATCGTTAAAGATCCGTGAGGTCGGAGCAGGGTTTAATCTTGCTCTTAAAGTGCCGCTTTCGGTTTCCTTATGGCGACTGAGCCTCAGAGGCCCCTTGGGCCGGTGAGGTGTTGGAAACGAGCATCCCCCAGCAGGGGCAGGCCAGCAGCACACACCGGCACCTGACGGGGAGCTGGGCAAACCCCTCAGCTGCTGGCATCTGGCTGAAAGCTCCTTCGACCTGCTGCAATGGAAACCATCCCTTCGTTTGCGTTCGATCTGAAAATTAAACCAAAAGTAAGGTGCAGGTTGTGGCAGCGCGGCTTTCAGGGGAGGTGAGTTGTTGGTGATCCAGCAGGATTACAAAATCCTGTTTGTGGGCTGCATCTGGACTCAGCTCCTAGTCCTAGGGCCTGAGGCTGGGACCAGGTCAGCGCTGCAAGGGTCTGGGGCCAGCCTGGCTGTGTTCTTCTTGCCCCCGCATTCACCTGAAATCCCCAGTTCTTCCCCAGGGAAGACACAGCCTGCCCTCTAGGACCTGTCTCCAAATATTTTATTTGTCAAAGTAGCTGGGATTTCACTTAGAATTGGAGCCTGTGTTCTAGTTCGTGTCCTGGCTCAGGCAGCCTGGCATCAACATGAAGGAGCTCCATGGCTGGCACAGGTGGGAGGAGAGGTGGTGAGGGTTCTGAAAAGGAAACATGCAGCAGGATTCATTAAAGTACCCATTTATAACCACTCAGGAAACAACAAAGAAAATCAAATGAAAGAGCAATAAAGTTAATTCCTCCCCTCACGCCTCCCACCCCTGTAAACCTCACTTCTTTATTCTCTGTAGGTGCATTTTAGGAAAGCTGGGGGTTCATTACTTTAAACCTCACTGCGGTGTGTCCTGTTGTCTGTTTTCTGCTGCCATTTTACCAGTTTAAACTAGTATCGAGCAGCTTCCCCGTCAGCTACTTTCCCCATTTTAGAAAAAGGAAGTCAGTTTTGCTCGCTTACTGCGGAGCTACCTGAAATGGTAACGGTGGCCAGGAAATAGGTCAGTGTGCACAAAGTCTTCTTGTGCTTCTGCAAGCGAACATCCTGCCGCCGCGCTCACACCGCTTTGAAACAAATCAACTCCAAAAATGACAAGTAACAGCGGTTCAGATGCTTGACATTTAGGATTAGGTACTTCACAGTCTGTTTCCTGAACTCCACTCCTGATTTCAGTATCTTGATATAAGTGCTTTGTATTTGATTGCTTCACAGGAGAGTCAGTGCACGGGGTGCTTTAACAGGGAGCAGTTTTCACGTGCAGCGCTTGCTGCTTGCTCATGGCTGGTTCTGCAAGGACATTTGATCGAAATGCAGAGCCCCCTTTGTGTTCTGCTCATCCTTCGAGGTGGAAGGCTAAAACTCCTGCAATATTTTTTTGTTCTCATGCTCCCTTCCCCAGGGATGTGTCTATCAGAAACCATCAACCTAGAAGTCAACCTGTCCAAGCCCTGGTCCCTTCTGTGAAGGCTCCATTTACAGTACGATTGTGCAGCCACATCATTGTTGTTTTAGTGCATAGTGTCATTTTTATGGCATTTTAGGGGCCTTGGTTTTCCATATGTTGATTTAAACACCTTATAAAAAGTAATCTGTTCATCTGCAGAGTTAATTTGCAGTGCATGTTGTAGTGCAGCCCTCCCCCTGAAATGGATCTTGGCCTGAAGTGGCGATCTGTAAATGCCTTGGCGCAGTCTGATCCGCCTCTATTAGTGCTTACATTTGCACTTTCTCAGAAAAGCACATGGTATAATTTCAAGTCTTGCAGACATTAGGGCTGCCTCTCAGTGAAGTCCACAGAGGATAGAAAGCAGAAGCATCCTTCTTAATTACTGCTGTTATCTTCATCACCATCCAAGCTTTCAGTAGTGAAATCTAACAGATGATGTAACCAGCAAGTCCTAACTCCAGTCCTTTAAATCATGGACATTTTCACACAATAAGCAGTATGTTGTGAAGATTGATGTATACTTACCAACCTTATCTAAAAGCAGAAAATCAGGAGAAAATGGTTTTACGTTTTGCATATTTGCACGTGACCTACACAAGTTATTGACAAGTTGAAAAAATTCAGTACATGTTTTCCCATTCATACTGCAGAATTATTTCAGGCATAAAGAACATGTTTGTTTTTAATAGATGCTAATTTGGAAATCGATCTATTTTTATCTGAAGCTCTGCCCAGTAAGGACAGAGTTGTTACCCGATACTGCTGGAATAAGGCAATATGCCCTTTGTTGGGGAAGGTGTGTGTTTCCTTTCATGGCTTACTTTAAATCATCGCAACCATCACAAGTGATGCCATCTTTCTAATCAAGAACGTGGAAGACTTGAAGCAGCAATTTTTTCCAGCTGTGGCAGTAATTCAGATGAAATGGTTGAATATATGCATAAACCTTTGTTTTACTGCTCAAATGGAAAGTAGGGAAGTAATCAGAGGTTTAGCAAGTGTTCTGTAGTCATCTTCAATAAGTGTCCAGCTGAGCAGGAAGGCCTCTTCTACAGCCTTGACAGCTGTGCTTGGGAGAAAGTGACAGTTTTATCCTTCTAAGGTAAAGATCCAGTTTTGTGACATTTCCTGTTTCAAGTCTTGTCCAAGAAGATTTTATTCCTTTCTGTCTTGTAAAAAGCATAAAAGATTTGGTTATAAAAATAAACTCTTAATGGTTTCAACAGGATCAAACAAAGGCCACCTAAACCCTAATAATCCAAGACAAGTACATTCGATTTCAGAATACAGTGAAGACTTTTTTTTTTAATAAAAAGGTAAAAGAACCTTATTTTTGCTTTTACAGCTTCAGAGTTTACAGATACCCAGGTATTTTCCTGCCAGCTGGCCTTTTCACTTATTGATTGTATCAATTCCAGTTCCAGAGGCCTTAATTCTGTCACTAGTGACAGCTCACGGCTCGGCTACGGTACAGTTTCCAATAAAATGCTATTTCAAGATAAGGGAAGGAGTAACACGCCAAAGAAGAAGGGTACCAAGTAACCCTTGAGAGAACACATGCCAGGAATGCTGGCACACTACAGGGAGTATCTCTCAGTTCTTTTTCTTACCCAGAGACTCCAAGCAGGCAGTAGCTCTTGAAGAAAGCCTAGCATGGCTTTGATAACAAGAAACCAGCACATTCTGAAATAAAGCCCTGACCAGTTCCAAATTCAGCACCTTTTTGATAAGCCAGCATCATTTTAACAAGCTCTCCACTATGTCCAGCTAGGTTTAACATCTAAAAGTTTGAGTATATCCCCTCGATGTTTTTGCACAGGACACATGCAGATGAAGAGCAGGTTCCTAAAAAGGGGCCTACAGGAAAGCAGGAGAGGGGCTCTGCCGGGGAGTGGGGTGACAGGACAGGGAGAAACGGTGTCAGACTAAAAGAGGGTAGGTTCAGATTAGGATATTAGGAAGAAATTCTTCACTCAGAGGGTGGTGAGGCACTGGAGCAGGGTGGAATTAGATGGTCTCTGAGGTCCCTTCCAACCCAAAGCATTCTGTGGGTCTGTTTCTATAATCAGTAGACACACAGACACATGCTTAAACACAGCTCTGCAAGGCTTGGAGAGGTACTTCATGATGTGCAAGAACAGGCTTCGTTTACATTTCCTGGCCTTATATTCCCAAAGATAATGCTGCACTTGCCTTTGGAGATGGATTCTACCAGAAATGTTTCTTTATGGTTGCTAATAGCTGGGCTGTAGCTTGTGCTCTCTGCAGTACAAGAACACTTCAGGATGCACCAAAGGATCCTGCACTGGGAGTTTGTTGTCGTTCCCCAGGAGGTGTTTAGAAGGACAGAACAAACAGATCCACACAGAATCCAGTGGCAGTTGATGTAATTGATTTACTGCTCATTTTATAGAGGGATCAACCTCATCCTCCACCCATTGTTTGCTGTGAGTCAGCGGCATCTCCTTCAGCCAGCTGTAAGCAGCAAACACGTTGCATCACAGGGAGCCAACAAGTCTTGCAGTGTGTCAGACACACCTTGGCAGCGTGATCACGCTGTTGGTTGCCATCTAGTTAAAGTACCAGTTTTACTGCAGTGGTTTCTTGTTCTTTTTATATGTTGGCATTTAGGTTCCTGATTACTAGCAAAGACCAGGAAAAAACGTTTAGAAATGTCACCAAGAGGGGATAGCCAGCATTTATATTCTTAAAAAAAAAAAATACAGCTATGAAGGTTGAATAGTTCCCATTCTAACGGGTGCCCACATGAAATTTGATGTTCTTGCTGAGTACATTCGGAGTTTCTTTGCACTGAAAAAATGCCTAGTCTTATGAGAATGAGGATTTCTACTTGGAAAACACATCTGGATTTCTCCCTAAGCACGGGGCTTGTTATTACTGTCAGATTTGGGTTTGCTGGTGAATTGCTTCAGTGTAGGTTGCGGTGTGTATGAATTCAGTAAATGATCTTTTGTCTTTAATTACTTCTCTGCATCATTGTAGGTGCGTATAGCTGCAAAATTCATCACTCATGCACCCCCTGGAGAATTCAATGAAGTATTCAATGGTAAGTAGGTGAAGGAACATGATCAGTAGCATTTTCTTCACATTTCACCTACTATGAGAGTCTATGGTTATGTTATGATATGTTGCTCTTAGGGTCAAGTATAAGTAAGGGAAAAGCACGCACTCATTCTGTGACTACTTACGCCTGATGAAACGATTTTAATTATTCATGTTTTTGTACAGTTGAAAATGAAATAAAGAAACATTTGATCAAGAACCAATAACCTATCTGAACACCCTTTTTTCTCCAGATGTCCGGTTATTGCTCAACAATGACAATCTTCTCAGGGAAGGAGCAGCACAGTAAGTATTAATGTTTCAAACAAAATGTGTGCTTCTCTGTGGTGATAATTTGACTTACAACCATGGTTCTGTGACAAAGCAAGCCATTTGTTCTATTGAGAGCAGTCTGCTGTAGTTCGTTATCCCCCAACAAAATATATAATGAAAGGCATGGCTGATTCTTTTTAAAAGGCTTAAATTGGAATTTGTGGTGTAGAGGCCATATAAAACTGACAGGAAGGCAATCTGCCAAAAAAAAAAAGAGTAATTCTGCAGCAGCAGGAATGTCTGATCTTGTTGAAGCATGATTTGTTAAGCAAGTGAAGCCTGAAATACTGAGTAGTCCTAAACCAGAGCTTAAACTGCCCTCAGAAAATACTTTCAGAATATCTTGTTTACTTGTGCAGCCTCATCAGGTGTCTCAAGGTTATGCATACAAGCCTTTTGATGCTAAGGCTTTACCTTGAGCTGTGAGATCAGTGAGCAGGTCTTGACAGAAGAAAATTGTTGTAAATATTAGTCTACTCATATTTGTTTACCTTACTGCTAAATTTTAGCCGGTGTGTTCCTGTTTTGCATTGGCTTGCTCATTATCCCTCAGGCTGCCTGCTGCTCTACTTTTGAACTCTGTACTTTTATGGTCATCACTAAATAAACCTGACTTTAGACTGGGTGTTTTTGTAGCTATCATCAATAAAAGGTATTGCAAAATCCTTTAAGAGTGCTAATGTGTATTATTTGCAAGTTTAAGGTGAAATTTTCTGTAGTATAAACCACACCATGTACTTATCCCTGAGTGAAGATAAATGTGAATGTGCAGCTAAAATTCATGCTCTTAATTCTTAACAGTGCATTTGCACAGTACAACATGGATCAGTTCACTCCTGTGAAGATAGAAGGGTATGATGAGCAGGTAAGGGAAAGCTTCGCACTGAATGTTTGTATTACTGCACTACACAGAAGGAATAAATGCATTGTGTCATCAATATCTTTACAATTTTCATCCTACCTGCAGATCATCTTTCCTCCTTCCACTAGATCATCCTCATGTTAACAAGTTTTTGTTCTTGTATAGAAGGCATAGGTGAAACATGGCCATAAAGCACTGTCTGTTACTGCCTGGTAACCAATTCACTGTTAAGTAAAGCCCCACACTGAAATCACTGCAATTCCAGTTCAAGTATGATCGATTAAAGATTGTTGTTTATTTAAAGATTACTTGCAACTCCTTACAGTACTACATCCTCACCGTTCCTACTGTGATTCAATAGTGGATTCTTAGTGGTATTTTTGCTGTGGTCTGCATTTTAATCCATCCCCAGTTACCAAAAAAATAAATAATTGTGTCTTAGACTATATCAATGTAATACTGCCCAATCTATGTCAGCAAAGCTTTTCCCTTTTATAATGCTTCTTATAAGACGACTAGGGAACATTCTTTTCTAGAATGGCCCAAGCTTTTAGTTTTAACATCGTGATGCCTACACACTGAAGTATGACTACTTACAGTTTGGTTTTGTGTTGTTTTTTTTCTGAGAGCAAGAAGTACTACAGAAGATAGAAAGCTGGCTTGACCATCTGTTCTATTCTGAGCCAAGCACTGACCTAGCTTTCCTGGTGTCCCAGATATGTTCATGGGAGACAGATATTTTAAGAGGGCTGTCCATAGAAATAGCTTTAACAAGAGGAAGCTACTGTACAACCTGCAAAGGATGTACATGGATAACTATTCAAACAGCCAAAACACATTTATAGCAGCACAAGAATATATTAATTTCAATTTCTTATTTTACAGGTGTTAATCACAGAACATGGTGATCTGGGCAATGGCAGATTCTTAGACCCAAGAAACAAAATCTCTTTTAAGTTTGATCACTTAAGGAAAGAAGCAAGCGATCCGCAGCCTGAGGACACAGAATCAGCTTTAAAACAATGGAGAGATGCCTGTGACAGTGCATTGAGAGCTTATGTGAAAGATCATTACCCAAATGGCTTCTGTACTGTTGAGTATCCACCTTGTTTCGTTGAAAATTCTTTGCTCGGTGTCACTCAGTACTTTGAGTGGACTTTGTGCCAAGCAGTGTTGTTTGAATTCTCCATCCTCACTAGTGTTTTTGCTAACTTTAGAACAACAAATTTCAAAAAGGGTGCAAATAACTTGGTATGCACATAGTGGTAGAAATTTATTAGACCACCTTGTTCATATTTATGACTGCCAAGCACCTTAACACCTGCCGTTAAAGAACAGGAAGCACTATTTGCACATAATTGCAAGCGGAGGTGCTGGACAATGTAACTAGTGGTAAACATTCCCAATGAGATACCACAATACCAAGCCTCCACAGTGCTACCAAGAACAGAAATTGCAAGTGGTTTTCTTCAGCTCTTTTGCCATTTTAACTCTTTTTCTGAATGCAGGTTTATGGTAAATCTATAGATGGACAGCAGACAATTATTGCCTGTATTGAGAGCCACCAGTTCCAGCCCAAAAATTTCTGGTAAGACTACTTAAACAGTGCGTTCTCTTCCTTTACTAGTCCTCAAACAAACCCTTTCTCTACTGGGGGTCTGAAGGGCAAGTAGCCTTGGGTTTCCCCAGGAGCTCTGATTCTCATTCTGTAGTTTTCCTTGCAAGCCCTTGGGCACTTCCCTAAAGCTTTCAGTGAGGCTCAGTGACCTACCTAGAGAAAAATATATTAGCAGAGCTGAAGACACCCCCTTACATATTCCAAAGCATTGGAGCCAGCCTGTAATGAAGCTGTGCTGTGGTGAGCTGGGCTTCAGAAATGGAATTCATTGGCATATAAGGCCCTTCAATACTGATCACAAGATATCAGGAATAAATTGCTCATTAATGTGGCTCTTTTTTTGTCAGCACTTGCTGGAAATAGTTTACATGCTGTGATTGTTCTTAGGAATGGTCGTTGGAGATCAGAATGGAAGTTTACCATCACACCACCGACAGCTCAGGTGGCTGCAGTGCTTAAGATCCAGGTAAGCTGCATTGTCTGGCAATAACAGGAGAAGCTGCTTGCCTTACACTAATAATGCATTTGACTCAAAACAAGATGCTGAAATACAGCAGAGATGTCCTTCTGGAGTCAAGATACTATTAAGCTAACAATTCAGGAAATCAATTCTTAATACTTCAGTGTTTTGGGCATTGCTTACAATGTGGCTTATTATATAGCATTACCCTATATGCCTCCAAGTCTGCTTGACTTTGTACGGCTAAAACCTATTCCATGAATTCTTTTATAATTGCTCTTATTTCAACTCTAGGCGTTTACTTCATTAACATAATCTTGAACAGTGTTGACAAAGAATGAAACCTTCCTGCTTTTAGTCTCCACGTAAGCAGAGAAGACTGGCACAACAAAGCTGTTGTGTCATTCTGATAGCATTTGGGGGCTCTTGGGATTATAAAATGAGTGTTAGTGATAACCTGCATTTTGTCTGTCTTTGTTTAGGTTCATTATTACGAAGATGGTAATGTTCAGCTGGTTAGTCATAAAGATATCCAGGACTCTGTACAGGTTTCAGTAAGTATGCCAAAATTTTTTAATGATAAAGCACCTATTTTGTTTCCTGAACATCTCATGAATTATACCCTTGTATGACTACATTCCATTGACTTTAATGTGATTTTAGAGTGACTAGTCGCTGTACCTGTAGTGTTTAGAGTTGCATGGAAAACCCAGATTTTTAATTGCTTTAAAATTGTCTGTTAAAAAGTGCAATGTCCATTGAACAGCTTATCTTATGAGAGTCAGTTAAAGATCGCAGAATACACCCTTGTATCTACATCCTAGGGAACTGAGATGTAAAAGCAGTATACTAAAGGAAAATAAATAGTCCTGTAGTACAGTAGAGGGAGCAATAGTCATAAAATCCCTATCTGTACTATGAAGACCTACTTCCCTTTTGCTCACTAGGGTGCAGTCCTGTTTCAGTTTGGAACACAAGCTTAAGCTAGTATCTTGAACTCCACTGGGATGTGTAGTGAGTGGAAGGACCCAGCTACAAAGAGCATCCGCCACCTCACATTATCCATTTCATCTATACTCAGACTGTTACTTAAGAAATCCATTGCATATGAGTTATTTTTTAACATATAAAGATCTCTTTTTCCCCTTTGTAGAGTGATGTCCAGACAGCTAAGGAATTTATTAAGATAATAGAAAATGCTGAAAACGAGTATCAGGTAAGATCAGTAGTTGTTACGTAAATGCAATTGAATTGTATCAATTTCCATTTGCAGTTAAAGGAAGTATGAAGAATTGACCTCTGACTCTTTCTGACTTACTGTTATCTGTTCTTATCTGTTACTAAGAATTACTTCGAAAGGGGCATTAGTATTTGTTGATGGAATCTAGTTGTAAAGCTATATAGCTATACAGCAAATTTGATTATTAAATACAAATGATGCCCGGAACAAGCACGGAAGGGGAGTGGACAAGTCTTATAGTTTTCCTGACAGGTAAAAACACTGAAAGGGAAATGCGTGAGAGCTTTTTATGTTGTCCCAGCCTGTGTGCAAGAAGCAGATGTGATACAGATAGTTCGGGAACACGTGTGAGTGTAGCAATGTCTCCTTAGGAGAGTTTCATAGAAACCCTTCGCTTGCACACACACAGGTGACAGCACTAACCAGTCAGTAGCATGCCTTCCCCTTGCAGAAAGGGTTTTGTGGCTTTAACGGATTCACTTCTCCAGAGTCTCTTTACTACTATAACTGAACCTACTTTTGCCATTGCAGACAGCAATCAGCGAGAACTACCAGACTATGTCAGACACCACTTTCAAAGCCTTACGCCGGCAGCTACCTGTCACCCGCACCAAGATAGACTGGAACAAAATCCTCAGCTACAAGATTGGCAAAGAAATGCAGAATGCTTAATGTGGAAATAAGGAGATTTATGAAATGTTTGTGTGCAAAAAACAAATGTGGTCCTATGCCAAGTAGATGGTTTCTAAACCAGTGCAGCATTTTTCTAGGGCTTTCAAAGTTAACAGGTTTTCTAGCCTCAGAGAAAACTGTGGAACAAATAGCGTTGTCTTTGTGTTTTGTGTTTCCTGCCGCATAAACTTCCTATTGTGACTGCATATACTGATAGGTTGTTTTAATTAAACCACATTCATGGTTCAGAAGTTTAGCTGTTTTCAATCACTAATTGTACTGGTTGGAAAACTTCCTAGCTGGAAAAGCCCTACTATAAATACAGCTGAGGGTGCAGTGCATTTCCTTCACCTGTATACAGCACTCCAGGTACTCCAGTAAGTTTGTCAAATCTGCCAACAGCTCAAGGCGCTATGCTGCAAGATATAGTAATGCAAGAGACAGTAAGTGCTCCTATGTATCCTTACTACTGACCTCCACAAAGCAAGAAGCCTGTAGGCTTAAGTTTTACTATACAAAATGAGTTTACAAAATCCATTACGGAAATCCCTTACAAAGCCAGCTCTTCCAGGGTCTCTTTTTAATCTGAAGTTTTGAGCCACATTCTCTGAAAGCGAACGTTTTTGCTCTTCTTTCCCTCGTGTATGTACGGTTATGGGACATCTGCATTTTTACAGACTGCAAGCGTCTGTGTTGGATCGCTGCTGATCCATGTAGACTGGATGAAGATTAAAATGCAAATGTCTACAGAATAATAGGTGTGTTGCGCTTTAATGCTTTGTGGCAGGTTCATAGAATTTGTATCACAGGTGTATGGATGGATAGTGTACAAAATAAATAAACTTGTACCAAAGTGAGAGAAATAACCTTTCCATTTTGTCTCTATTGTGGCCAGTTTCTTGTCATACTTAATGGGAGATTCTGGAATTAATCACTTCATTGCTCTCTAACTGCTTGCTCTGTGTTACTTTGTTTTTCTGTAAAATCAAGAATAGGTCCTATCAGTTTCTCTTAAGGGGAGGTTGAAGAGGCACGTGTATGCTTTCCTCAATTCAAACCTGGAAAGTTGATTCATTGCAAAGTGAAACCCCTCTGGTTAACTCACTTTTCTTTGTTTACACTTGGTTATCACTGGGCCTTTTTGCAGGTTCTGTTTTTTAAACTGGTTAGCGTCTTCCTGTTTTTTAGTACACAAAGAAAGGGGTTGAGAAGATAGGGATGTAACTGCCTGTGCATTATGCTGGAGGTTTTGCACAGTGATGCCACAAAATAAGTGTCTACCCTGTGTGAGAAATTTTGTCAAAATAAAATATATTTGTATTTGCTGTTGAGACTGACCTTTCATCCTGCAGGACATCCTCTGTATAGTCTAGTAGAAATACACGGGTCTTTGTTTTAAAGCCATTTGTGTCTGTTCTTTCGTGGTCTCACTTCTGTTAATGCCTGGGGAAGGCAGAAGTGCAGGTGGCAGCCTGAAAGCAGGGATGGGAGCGTTTGCAAACCTTCAGACAGTGCTCACATCCTGGTACACAGACCTGGGAACTGGGGGTCTAAGAACTTTTAGGTTGAAAGAAAAATAATCACACTGCTCTAATGAAGCACTTCACCTGGGTAAAACCTAAGTGGTTTTTGCTAATCACCTGGGTCTCGTTGCAACACCTCATAGCCTCTTACACCCCACTTTTGAAACTCATTGCAGGACACACGCATGTATAACATGGGAACAGTACAGCGGGAAGGGATCTTCAAAAATCATCTAGTCCATACACCCCGTGTCAGTTGCATTAGACAAAACAAGGCTGCCTGAGTGCTAGTGGGAGTTCTTGTCCTCAGCTCGGTTTGCACACAGCTGTGCTAAGAGCAACTCAAGGACAGCACTTCTATCACCAGCATCTGTAGCAACCGTTTCCTCCCTGCAGCTTGGAGATGAAAGGTGTGGATGAGTGCCGAAGGTGCTGTGGGCTGTGGCCCCAACCAGGCAAACGCTGCAGGAATTCCAGCAATGCGAGGCTGAGGGTTTGGGGGGGGGAGAGGGGGCTGAGATAACTGTGCACACAGCAGAGTTTTTATCTACCAGCACAGCCTGTTTCAAGGCTAGTCTTTAACCGATCCTAGTTTGTTAAATTGGGAGGAGTTCACCCCCACTCATTCCAGTCTGAAGACAATTTTTATCTCCCTGCCCTTCTCAAACTTCAGCTAGCCAACTTTCAGGGCCAGCTCATTCCCCCACCTACCTCCTCACCCTTCTCCCTCAGCAGCCTTCTCCGCAGCAGCCTCAGCTGTCCCACTCTCAGCTACTTCCCAGCTCCTTGGAGGAACAAAATTCAGCGCTGCAACTCACTGCAACCGAGCCGCTGAGCAATTGCCAGCGGTGACACACTCTAAAGCTGTTTGCTGTTCTCTGCTCAGGCCCTGAGGTTTCAGGTGAGACCAAGGCCAGCTAGAGGCTGACTCCTCCAGGCTCTATTCACCAGCCAGAGCCTGACCCCAGGCCCAGCACAGCAAGCAGGCACCGCAGCTCAACCAAGCCAGGGCAGCTGAGCACAGCCTGCCACAGAAAGAGCTTTCCTAGCTATTTGTGAGCTCAAAGCTTAAAGTTCCAGGATTCCGCCAGCAAAACGCGACAAAAAGGCTTACAGGCAACTTCTCCAAAAGTGACATCCATCTTTCTGAAGCCTCAGCGCCCTCCCACAGTGTGGGAGCCCTACCCCAGCACCCTCCCGCAGCCCCCGCTATCAGCAGCAGTGCTTGAGTCACAAAACCACTCGCCCAGCCCCGGGGAGGTGAAGGCAGCAGACTTACCCCGGCGTCCTTTGGCTGCAGAGAGCACGAGCAGCGCCGCGAGCAGTCCCAGAGCCCGAGACCGTTTTACCAAAGCAAACCGAGGATCCCCACCCTTAGCTAGGCTGGAGAGCTCCAGCACGACAAAGCAGAGGCAAAGCCCAACACAGAGCCCGGCCGGTGCTGCCGCTGCCCTATTTATACAGAGCAGCTGCGGGAGCCCTGGGAGCTCTCCCCCCGTCGTTGGCTCGAGTGATGCCGCGCACCTGGGCGCTGCCCCTGCCCTCGGAGCTCTGGCAGCGACCCCGGCTGCCCCCCCCTGCCCGACGGGGCGCCCGCAGGGCTGGCCCGGCCCCGGCATTGCCGCTGCCCCCCGCTCCCGGCGGCTGCGGCGGGGGCTCGAGCCCCGGGACCCCCCCCATCGGGGGGCCGGGCGGGGGATGTGGGACCAGGGGTCGGGATCGGGGTCGAGGCCGGGCCCGGGGGGGGCGGCGGAGAGGCCCTGGGCGGGGGCAGCGCCCCCACGGCCCGGCCCCGGTCCCAAGCGGGCGGGCCCGTGGGGCTCAGCCCCTTTCGCTTTCGTTTCTCCCTGCGGAGCCAGCCCCAGCCCGGCACGTCCCGGCTCAGCTCGGCACGTCCCAGGGCTCAGCACATCCCGGCTCGGCTCGGCACGTCCCGGCTCGGCTCGGCCATGCCGCGGTTCAGCGTGGCGGAGGCGAGGCGCTGCGGGGAGCAGTTCGTGCAATTCCTGCGGGACACGGGCCGGGAGCAGGAGAACCGCCGGGACGCGCTGCGCACCATCTACGGCGGCGAGTTCCGCGCCAGGTGAGCGCCGGGACCCCCCCCCCGGGGGGGCTGGACGGAGCCCCCAGCGCTGCCGAGCCCCCGGAGAGGGGGATCCCGGAGCCCCAAACCCCAAAGCGCCGGGGTCCGGCTCTCCCGGGCGGCCGCTCCCCCGGGGACCGCGGGGACCGCTCCGTTCACCGGCCCCGTGCCCCCGCTCCCCTCCGCCTCCCCCCGGACGATCCCGGCTGCGGGGACCCCCCCGTAGCCCCCCGAGCACGGCCGGGGCACCGCACGCCCCCTCCTCGCCCGCTGGCCCCAGGGCAACTGTCCCCGCCGTTCACCAGCGTTCGCTGCGCTGCGGGAGGAGCTGCGGGGGGCGCCGCAGCCGGGGAGCCCCCCCCGTCCATGCAGGTGCCCCCTGGGCAGCCCCCGCTGCCGAGGATCCGGGGCCGGGGCCGCCCCTGCACAGACAGGGGCCAGGAAGCCGTGTGGTGTCGTGGCACAGCGCGGTGCTGCCCGAGCAGCCTGCGGGGACAGGAGGGTTTGCTACATCTGGGGGGCCGGTGGAAAAACCCCGGTCCTTTTCCCTCTCCTTCCATCCCCCAAAACAGAGGGAATGTCTGGGGTGAGGGGCCCGGCTTCACCCCCTTCCTCCCCGCACCTCCCAGCTCCCCAGTGCCCAGCCCTTCTCGTCTCCACTTGAAACCTTCTCTCTCTTCTATGTGCAGGACTGACACAAAGATGCCCAGTTTCTCTTGCATCTTGTACGCCCTGAGGGTGTACCCACCAGGCTCAGGTGCACGGGGAGTCCGTGCACTTCAAGAAGGTGAGGGAGGGCCTGGGCTGGGGCCGTGCCGCAGCTCCCACAGCCCTAGGAATGGGCTCAACAGGAGCCCCCAGCCCCCGGCAGGACCCGGGCACGCACTGGGGGCCTGTGCCCGGCACCACGCTGATGCTCGCTGCTCCTCGCAGGGGAAGAAGCGAGTGGTGGTGGCAGACCAGTACCGCAGACCCAGAACCAATGTAGAGACATCTGCACCCGCTGCCTCAGGCCAGCAGCCCAGCACCGGCCCGCAAGTGTCACCGAGCCGTGCCAAGAAGTGGTAGGACCCCCGGCACCCTGCCCGTGGCTGCCCACGGGGACCTGGGTACCCCTGCCCCAGCCAGGGGCGCCTGACCCCGCTCTTCCCGTAGGGCCGAGTTCATCCGTGGGAAGCACGGGGTAGAGATCGTCTCAGAACATGACCGGGCCAACGGGCAAATCCGCTTCGATGTGACACTCGGCCAGCCCCGCACGGTCACCATCCAGGTGAAGAACCAGGGCACGGAGGCCGTGAGGCTGCGTAACTGCCACTCTCTCCGCCGCCTGCGGGAATTCTCCTTCCTGGACCAGCACGGGGTGACGCAGGGCGAGCCCCTGCTGCTGCAGCCAGGTATGGCCCCAGCCCCTGCTCGGTGCACGGCCCTGGGAGGGGACGCAGGACGCCGGTCCCCAGCTCTCCCCTCCTCGCAGGCGGCACACACCCCATCCAGGTGCGGTGCCTGACCAAGTACAACGGGTTCTTCCGTGCCGTGGTGGTGTTCGACTTCGCCAAGGAGTCGGGCGAGTTCTTCAGCATCGGGCGCTCCGTTGCTGCCATCGCTCAGAGCCAGCTGGCCAAGGAGCTGGGGCCCACGTCGTCCTTCGAGCCTTACCAGGCCAACCTCCAGCGCCCCGTCACGGTCATCACCGAGGAGGGTGTGCCCCCCGTCAGGTATGGGGTGGGCCCTGGCTCTTCCCTTGGCTGGGGCAAGGCTCAGTTCATAGGGACCCGGCTTTCTGTGATGGTGTTTTTGTCCCTGGGCAGTGGCTGGGGACAGCGCTGGTGACTTGCCAGGGCCATGGGTGGTCACAGAGCTGGGGGGAACCCAGCCTGGCTGTCCCCACAGCACCGCTCTCTCCTCTACCCAGCTCCCTGAAAAACGAGCTGGAGAAAGAAATCCCACTGAACAGCTACCCGTACCCAAAGAGCCTCAAGGAGACAATCAAGCTCGGACCCAAGACCGACCCTGCCTCCAGCTGGGTTAAGATGCTGTGAGTGCCGACGGGCAGGGGCAATGCCTCCCTGGCCTGTGCATGTCCCCTCTGCTGCCCCTGCGTCCTACGGGGCCGCATGGGGCACGGTGACACCCCCTGCACTGGCCCCCAGGTCGCTGCTGGAGGCACCGCTACACGCTGGGAACTACCAGCAGAAGTTCCAGCTGCTGCTGCACCTGGAGGAGATCCAGATGGAGGTGGACATCCGCCGCTACGACATGCAGGAGGTGACCATGGTGCAGGACAGGGAGCTGCTGGTCCTCGATGTGAGTAGGGACAGCTGCTGCGGCAGCCCCCAGAGGCTCGGGGGTGGCCAGGGGCTCGGGGTGGCCCTGGCGGCACGCTGGCATCATGTTGGCCGCTTGGTGCAGGTGCCCGGTGTGGCTGAGAACCGCCCGTCCGTGCTGAGGGGCGACCACCTCTTCGTCAGCCTGAGCAGCGAGCGGGACAGCTCCCCGCTCGTCCAGTACAAGGGCTACGTGCACGACGTGGAGCTGGAGAAGGTCAGGCTGGGCTTCTCCTCCAAGTGAGTGGTGTCCGTTCCCAGCTGGGCTGGCGGGGCCCCGGCAGCCCCACTCGGTGCCAAAGGCCGGGTGTGGGTGGGGAAGGGCAGGGGAGGCCGTGGGGCAGCGTCCCCCGCGCCCGGCTCACGCCGCTCCTTCCCAGGTTAAAGAGCAAGTTTGTGAATCAGCTGAAGTTCGACGTGACCTTCACCTTCAGCCGCCTGCCGCTGCAGGTCCAGCACCGGGCTGCAGCCTTGTCCATGCAGCAGGGCTTGGCCAGCCTCCTCTTCCCCTCTGCCTCCTGCAACAAGTCTCTCATCTCGGGCCCCTACCAGCCCCGGTGAGTCCCCGTGCCTGGGGCCAGCTGCCCCGTGGGGACAGGACGGGATGGGACAGGGGGACGGGGACCCAGCACGCTCAGCCTCGGCTCCCACAGCTGGTTCGACAGCAAGCTGCAGAAGAACGAGGAGCAGCGCAGAGCCGTGATGAACATCGTGACGGGGATGTCCAGGCCGGCCCCATACCTCATCTTTGGGCCTCCTGGGACTGGCAAGACAGTCACCCTGGTGGAGGCCATCAAGCAGGTGAGCGGCCGGGGCCCAGGACCAGCTCACGGCATCGCTGCCGGCCCTGTGGGGCTCAGCGCCTTCACCCCCTCCTCCCCACCTAGGTGTGGTCGTGCTTCAAGGACGCCCGGATCTTGGCCTGCGCCCCTTCCAACAGCGCCGCCGACCTGCTGTGCCAGCGCCTCATCACGGACATCGCCCCCCGCTACGTCTACAGGATCATGGCCAGCTCCAGGAGCTACCGGGAGGTGCCTACAGAAATCAGGGTAGGTCCGTGCCCCTCTGCCCAGCACCCCCCTGGTGTGACCGGGCTGGCAGCCCCAGGGGAGGGAGCTCCCACCTAACCCCCCCTGTTCCAGCCCTGCTGTAACAGGGACGACGAGCAGGACTGCTACGTGTACCCCAGCAAGGAGTTCCTGGGGCGCTACCAGATCATCATCACCACGCTGGTGACAGCGGGAAGGTCAGAGTCCCCACGTCCCTGGAGGTGGCCTCATGTCTGGGCCATGAGGGGCTTCCCTGCTGGGGTGCAACAGGGAGGGGATGCAGGAGAGCGGGGCAGCCCCAGGGAGGGTGATGGTGATGGTGATGGGAGGAAGGCTGGCCAGGCAGGCAGCACCACTCACTGCAGCCTCACGCTGCCTTTCCCCAGGCTGGCATCGGCCAACTTTCCCCCACGCTATTTCTCCCACGTCTTCATCGACGAGTGCGGCCACGCGGTAGAGCCGGAGAGCGTGGTCGCTATCGCTGGTGAGTGGCTCCCGGGTCGGCATCACGGCCCCCAGGCTCCCCCCTTCCCTTCCCCACCCCACAGCCAGCGCTGAGCTCCCTCCGCCCAGGCCTCCTGACTGCCATGGACCCGGAGAGCAACCCCAACGGGGGGCAGCTGGTGCTGGCAGGAGACCCCCAGCAGCTGGGCCCCGTCCTGAGGTCGCCGCTGGCCACGGAGCACGGCTTGGGTGAGCGAGGGCAGGGGTGGGAGCGATGCCGGTGCCCGAGCGGCACGGCGGGGAGCCACGGGTCTGGTGTGCGCAGGCACCTCGCTGCTGGAGAGGCTGATGCTGCACAACGCGCTGTACAAGAAGTCGAGCGATGGCTACAACTCGCAGTTCGTCACCAAACTGCTCTGGAACTACAGGTGGGGATGGAGCGAGAGTGGGGCCGGGACGGGGAGCTGCCCCGCACTCCAGCTCCCCTTCCCAGGGGTGCCCCAGCCTGTGCGGGAGATGGGGCAAACCTCACACAGTGCCCGGGGAGAGCATCGGGGCCACCCCCTGCACGCTTGTCCTACCTCTCCCAGGTCCCACGAGGCCATCCTCAGGATCCCCAACGAGCTCTTCTACGACAGCGAGCTGAAGGCCTGCGAGGGCGACGAGTTTGATATTCGCAACTTCTACTGTGCCTGGGATGAGCTTCCCAAAAAAGTGAGGGGGGCGCCAGGGCAGGGGCTGGGAGGAGCCCCCGAGCTGCAGCCCCGCTGACCCCAAGTCTCTGCACCCCCAGGGCTTCCCCATCATCTTCCACGGGGTCTGCGGGGAAGACCAGAGAGAAGCCAAGAGCCCCTCTTTCTTCAACACGGCTGAGATCGAGATCCTGGTCCAATACCTCAAGAAGCTGCTGCAGAGCCAGGGCAAGCGGGGCTGCCCCACCATCTCGCCCAAGGAGATCGGCATCATCGCTCCCTACAGGAAGCAGGTGAGGGGCAGGCGGCAGCGGGAGGTGGTGCATCCCCCCCAAAAAAATGCTGCTGCAGCGTACCGCGTGCCTCTGCAGGTGGAGAAAATCCAGAAAGCCATCACCACCCACGACCCCGTCCTGAGGGCGCTGCCGGACATCAGGAAGCTGAAGGTAGAGAGGGGCCCAGCCCCGGTGCAGCTCAGCCTGGGGGGTTCCCATGTGCGGCTGGGGGGAGGCAGCGGTGCCCCAGCAGCCGCTCACCCCCACCTGCCCTAGGTGGGCTCCGTGGAGGAGTTCCAGGGCCAGGAGCGCCGTGTCATCCTCATCTCCACCGTGCGCAGCTGCAGCGAGTACTTCCAGCTCGACCAGACCTTCAACCTGGGCTTCCTCAAGAACCCCAAGGTACTGCGCCCCCCCGAGCAGCCCCCTCGGCTCCCCGCTGCCTGCAGCCAGGCGGAGCTGCTGTGGGTGCTGGATGCGGCCCCGGAGCCCGGTACCGGGAGGTGCTGCTGCAGGGTGAAGCCCTCACTCTTGTTCCCTTCTCCAGAGACTCAATGTGGCCCTCACCAGGGCCAAGGCTCTGCTAATAGTGGTGGGCAACCCGGTCGTCCTCAGCACGGATCCCCACTGGCACAGGTGAGCCTCCCCCCAGCTGCCCCCTGCTGCTGCTGCTCAGGGCCGGGCTCGGGGCCGTGCTCAGCCCTTGCTGTGCCCGCCAGGTTCCTCAGGTACTGCAAGGAGAAGGGCGGCTACACGGGTTACCCCTTCGAGGAGGAGACCCCCGAGGAGGACAGCCTCGCGGCCCACCTCAACTCCCTGCACCTCAGCACTTAGCAGCCAGGTACCCCCGGGTTTCACGGGCCGTCCTTCAGGAGCTCCGCACGCTGCTGACCCATGGGGCTTCCCCAAAGGAAAACCCCTCAGCGGGAGCAGCCCCACGGAGCTCCTGCGACCCCGACCTGGCCCCTGGCTGCAGCAGCCTCCTGCTCCCCCCACTTTGTCCTTGGGTCCCCCCCGGGCTCCCCACGCATCCCTGCAGAGCCCAGGCTGTGTGTGCTGGGCCCTGCCCGGGGTCCCTGTGGCAGGGGAGAGGTGACTGCGGCTGCCAGCTGCGAGCCTGACCCAGACCACAGGGCTGAGGACCACCCCCCCCCTTTGCAGAGTGGGACCACGGACCAATTTTATTTGGTTTTAATCATTTTTTGATACAGCCAAAGAAAGCCAATTGCCTTTGACTGCTCTCGCCTGGCCCCCAAGCTGGGCGGTGTGCGGGCGCACAACTTTCTTTCCCCGAATAAACAGAGAAAACACTGAGAGTGCTGGTGTCAGTCCTGGGGGGCACGAGGGGCATGGACCAAGCCCAGCAAGGACGGCCCGCATGAGGCCATGGAAGCAGCGCTGCCATTACTGAAATACCACTTTGCATTTATTCTCCCAATTACACAGTTCAATTTACTGGTGCTAAGTCCGTAGCGATTCAGCCTCAGAGGTGGCTGGACAAGGCCCTGCCCCGGCACCGGGCCCTGGGGGGGCACTTCTGGCAGCAACTGGGCCTGGCTCCGGCTCCTCGTGGCGTTGCTCTGCCCAGACAGGGCTGAAGTCCCTATAAAACCCCAGTGGGACCGTCCCATGCAGGGGCAGAGGGCCCGAGCAGGCTGTGGCCACAAGCCGTGGGGGGGCGGCCAGCAGCCCCCAGGCCGCGAGCCCTGCCCAGCGCAGGGCACAGGTGAAGCTGGGGGGATGGCTGTAAAATGGGGCACCACGGAGCTGCCGAGCTGAAGGCATTGTCCCCCCAGCAGGGCACGGGGCTGCCCGCCTACCTGGGGCAGCTCTCGGGTGGGATGAGCTCTGGCTGCGGTGTCCGGACGCTGCTCGGGGCTGTGCCCGCCTCGCAGGCCGGCCGCTCACAGCAGCGGGCAGCCCCTGCGCTTCTTGTTCTTCCTGACCTGCAGCCCCGCGCGGGTGGCCATCTCGAAGACTTCCCGCACGCCCTCCTTCGTCTTGGCCGAGCACTCGAGGTAGCCGAAGGCGTTGATGCGGTTGGCCATGTCTCTTCCCTCCTCTGGCTTCACGGGCTCCTGCACGGCATCGGAAAGGAGGTTTGGGAACATCGCCCGATGACGGCAGCGAGAAGCAGGGTGACGGCCGGCGGGGCATCCCCCAGCGCCTGGACTGGGTGCTGCAGGAGGGAACCCCGGGGAGGTGGCACAGGGAGAGGGACCCCCATGCCTCAGACCCTCGCACACCCCAAAGCCAGGACCCCCCAATGGCCACGCGCCCGGCCCCAGCGCGTTCCCCACCTGCTTCATCTTCGCCAGCTCCCGCCGTGTGTGCTCATCATTCCGCAGGTCCTTCTTGTTCCCCACCAGGATGATGGGCACGTTGGGGCAGAAGTGCTTCACCTCCGGGGTCCACTTCTCCGGGATGTTCTCTGCGGGAGGCAGCACACACCCCCTTAGCCAAGGGGCGTTGGGGTGCGCAGCAGCGCGGTCCCAGCCCAAGCTGTGCCCTCCCCATGCTCCCCAACCCCGTGCATTCCCAGCATCTTCTCGGAGCATACATAAAACCAGGGGGGCAGTGGGGAGACCTGACACCCCCAAACACCCAAACACAGTGGCACGGAGCTCAGGGTGGCGGCAGGGGCTCAGCCAACAGCACCCAGCTCTGCAGGACCCCACGTTCCCCCTCTTTCCCTGGGCCCTACCGAGGCTATCCGGGCTGTCGATAGAAAAGCACATGAGAATCACGTCCGTGTCTGGGTACGAGAGGGGCCGCAGTCTGTCGTAGTCCTCCTGTCCGGCCGTGTCCCACAGCGCCAGCTCCACCTGTGGGGCAGAGGGACGTGGCTCAGCAGCTCGCAGACCCTGCAGGCAGGCTGTGGGGCCCGGAGCAGCACTTTATCTCCCTCAGCTGTAACCTCAAACTGGGGCAGGTTCGGGGTGACCCAGAAACCCAGGAGCTGCAGGGCTCCCTCCCAAGCACTGCTGGTGCAGGGAGCATCGGAGCCACCCGAACCTCACTCCTTTACCACCCACCCCACAGAGCCACGGGAACAGGGGGATGGGACCAGCTCCGGTGCCCCTCACCTGCTTCCCGTCGACCTCGATGTCAGCGATGTAGTTCTCGAACACCGTCGGCACATAGACCTCGGGGAACTGGTCCTTGCTGAACACGATCAGCAGGCACGTCTTCCCGCAGGCACCGTCTCCCACGATCACCAGCTTCTTCCTGATGGCTGCCATCGCTGTGGGACCGGGAGGGGACGGGTGAGCAGGGCCATGGCCACAGGCAACCCGTGCACCCGCTGCCTCCTGGCCCCAACACCCCGGGGTCTCTCGTGCAGCTGCCCCAGGGAGCACAGGACCAGGCACAACGGCACACCTCGGTGTGAGCAGCTTCCAGGGCAGCAGGAGAGCAGCCCGCAGGCACTGCAGGGAGCAGTGCAGCTGGAAGCAGCCCCACATTTACACCCAGCACCGTGAGGAGCGCTGCGTGCAGTGGCCCAGCCTCCGTGAGTGGTGCAGAGGCTGCATTTGGGGACCCCCTGCAAAAACACCGTACCGGGACGAGCCCCTTTCACCCCGTAGCACTGCAGAGGGTGGCTGCCCAGCCCCAGCCACCAGCTCCCCCAGCTGAGTTTTCTCGCTATGTCCCCAGCCCGGGCACACGGGCTGTGTGCTGACCTCAGTCACACACACCCTCTGGCTTTATTTTCAGCTTATAAATTCTTCAGGGTGTCACCCGGGCATGCTCACTGGCTCCGAAATAATCAGCTCGGTGGCAGGAGCGCGCCAAACTGAGCTTTTGGGGCCCTGAGTGAGCCCAACCTGCGCCTGGCACCGGGCGCTGGGCTGGCCCCTTCCCAGCCTTGTCACAAAGGAGCCTTTGCCACCCGGCCAGGAGCTGGCACTGGGGCAGGGGACGCTGCCAGCCACGGCTCAGCGAGCAGAGCCGAGCCCCCCAGCCAAGCCGGCTGCCCTCTGCCCCCAGCGAAATGGCTGCTCCCCCGTAAGAGCACACCTCGCATCCCTGAGTTAGGGACTGAGACCACAACCGAAGCTGGGAATGACCCAGCAGGATGCCAGGAAACGCCTGCCCTGAACCCTGATGGAGCAGCAGGGGGACCCAGCAGCCCTCTGACACCTCCAGGCCCCAGAAACCTCGGTCTGGAGCCCGACCTATTTCTTAGGCCCCCTTGTGACACCATTACTCCTCCATCCCTGCAGGAATCCAGGGCAAGGCGCACGATGACAGCTCACGGTTTAATCCCTGGGAGGGCACGCGCTGCTCTGCGGGCCGGGGAGGCTGCAGCTCACCAGAAAGGTGTGGCAGCCCTGGAAAGGAGGTGTTTGTGGAGGTGCTGGGGGGATTCAGCAGCCGTACACCCACGGCTCGGAGCTGCCACCGCTCCCCCAGAGCCTGCTCGGGATCCTGGCAATGCCCAGCGCTGCGCTCAGCCGGAGCCCAGCACACAAACGGCTCCTGTGAGAGAAGCTGGCGACTCCCAGGGCGATTACACACACACCCTGCCCCGGCATAAAGGAAGGAAAAGAGAAAAACACGAGCGAGGCTGCATTGTAATTAGCTGCAAGCGAGGGATTAAGAAATTAGACACTGCGGCTGACTTGCATTTCAAAGCAGGCTGAGGAGAGCTCCTCTTATCTGCACGCTTGGCAGGTCACCGCCAAGCTGCCTCTGCCCCACGGACACCTCCCAGGGCTGTGCCCCACTCCGCAGCCTCCCACAACCCCCCTAGGACTCAGCACCACCGCAGCTCCTGCAGACCGAGCGGGAGGCAAAGGTCTCATCCAAAAAGCTGGGGGGGGCACCATGAGGAGGCACCACGTCTGAGTATGGAGCCAGGGCTGGAGCAGTCTCCTGCCCTCAGGGAGGGGGGCTTGGGACACAAGAAATGCATCACCCCTGTTGCAAACCATCCTTCTCGTCTGGGCAAAGGCCCATCCGCTCCCCTGCCACCATCTCCGCAGCACAGGCAAAGGAAAGCTCGTGGGCAAAAATATCCACCAGGAAATGCCCTTCCCCACAGCAAAATGGGATTTGGTGCTTTGCGATTCCGCACCTCAGAGGGATGGAGAAGGAAAGGTGCTGTGGGAAGCGCTGGTGTCTACCCAGCACAAGGCAGGGGGAGACGCATCTGCAGCACAGGGAACAGAGAACAGCACTGGAGGCAGGCAGCCCGTGTTCAGACAGGGAGACGAGGTCTGCCTGTGCCGAGCCCGCGGGATATCGGACCTGAGATCTGATCTGCACGGAGCCACGCGGTGTGCTGGGGGCTGCTGGCTCAGCCCAGCCCATTTCCACAGCCCCCAGCAGGAGCTGATGGGGACAGGGCTGGGGCCGGGGCCAGCACCCACCCTGAGCAGGGGGGGGGCCCCAGCAGCGCCTCGAGCCCTGCCCGTGGGTGACTCACGGGGCAGAGGCCCCGACCCGCCCAAAATCTCCGCACAACTCATTCCATTACTCAGCCGAGCAGCCCAGAAATAGCCCATTGCTAATGCGAGGCCGGCCTCCAAAGGGAGGGCGGGAGGAGGCTGGGAAGATTTTGAACTCTTCTCCCAGTAACACCCGGGAGTCCCTGCGAGGGCAGCTGCCTGCCCACAGCCACAGCGAGCCTGGCACACGCAGCACCCAAGGGTGCAGTGGGAGCAGCGCTGCTGCGGGTGCCTCAATTCAGGCACCTCGTGCTCCTCCATGGGGTGCATGAAACACAGCAGCATCTGCCTGCCTGCACCCGGTGCCGAGCAGCACCGACCCAGCTGACTGCCAGGGGTCACCCAGCCCGGCCCCAAACGGGCAGCACCTCCGGCAAGCCAAGAAATTGCAAACCAAAACAAAATTGCTCGGCTCCATCTTCCAAGCAGCTATTCTAAAGTCATCGTCACAAAACCAGCGAGGGCTCGGGCACAGCTGTTACGTGGTCAGCCTCCCCCCAGCCTCATGCCTCAAAAAAGCGAAGTTCCTGCTGAGCAGGAAACGGGGAATTCCTCTGCAGCAGGATGCATCTTTCGTCTAGTTTCTGTTATGGGATCTCAGGAAATGGCAGAGGGAGGCGTTAAGGCTTTGAAGAAGGCATCGGACCTTCGCAGGGACACCCGGAGCTCCCCACGGCAGGGCTGGCCCCGCTCTGCAGCCCCCCTCACCTGGGGCCAGCAGCGGCCCAGCAGTCCTGGAGCCTCTAGGACCAGGGGCTCACGAAATGCTCAGCACCATCATTTGGACCCCACCACTTCAGGCACCGAGTCCACTACATCCCCAAAACTGCAGAGCTTGCAGCCAGAGGGGGAAGCCAAGGGCCCGGCTCCAGGGCCCCCCCAGCATTACGGGAGGAAACGGAGCCTTCGAAGGGCCCGAGATAGGTTTCCGTCCACTCGGCCTTGCTGTGTCTTCAGCTCCTGCTGAACTGGCGGCGGTTTAACAAACAACAGTGCCCTGGGTACTCAGGCATCCTGGGTACTCAGACTGTTTTGATTTAACTTCTGCTTGGGAAGGAGCCGAGCTAATTGCAACACAAACCAGGTTCAAGGCTAAAATATTCACGAGGAATTCAGCTGGGTTTCAAATCCCCCAAAGCACAGGCCCTCGGCCCAGGCGGCGCAACCCGTAACGCAGACGAGATCCAAGGGAGCTCGCGGCACCCAGAGAGCACGAAACACCAGCAGGGAACACAAACAAGGTTTTCCACCCCGAGCAGCCGAGGACAGGCTGTCTCCACTTCTAAACATGGCTTTGTGTGTGCAAAGGGCTGCTGCCACAGCCCCGAACGCGCCAGGCGAGGGCACATCAGGACAGGCCCCCAGGAGGGAGGCAAACAGGAGCCGCTTTCGGGCAGGCGCAGGGCGGTGCTGGTGCTGCTGGAGCCCAACGGGGCCAGGGCTGGTGGCAGCAACCCCAAAAACCCCATCGGGGGGAGGCTCCCACCCCACCGAGCTGTTGTGTGCAGCTCTGCGACAGCAAAGCAGGGAGCCTCACAAGAGTGTTTCACGGCTCCTGCCAGCCCCGAAGCTAAAATCATTCCAAGGGGACTGAAGGAGTTTGGGGACAACAGCAGGGGGACGCAGCTGGTGCCTGAATCACCCGCAGCGAGTCCCACAGCGCCGGACAAATTCCTGGCTCGGGTATCTGGGGGATTCTTAAACAGCAGCAGAAAACCAATCCACCAGCTGGAAGGGAAGCTGGAAGGCAGTGCCAAAGTGAAACACCATGGCAGTGAGGCCCCGCTCTGAGCTCCTGGGCGTATCTCGGTCCCGAAACCCCGAGTGCTTGTGTTTGTGGGAAGCCTTGTGCCTGCTGCTCGCTGCTGCCAGGGAGAAACGCCACAGAGCACACGGCTCCCCCCTCAGCCTCCTCCAGCCCTTAGAGCAGCAGAGCTCCTCCGGTGCCAGCCAGGACCCCCTGGGCTTACTGCCCAGCAAATCCCACACGGCTTCTTTTGCAGGGCTGGCAGCTTGTGTGCGGATACCCAGAAATCAACACATCAGTACAAGCACTAACAGGAGCAAGGAGTCTTCCTGTAATTAACTTAAACACCTTCTGTCTCACGATGGCACCCAGGGAAGCGAGAGCAGGATGCCCACTCCTGCAGCAGTGAATACAGCACACGTGCACAGAAGCTCTGAGACGAAGCTCACGGTTCTGCCTTCAGGACAACAGCCACAGACTTTGGACTTTTTTGCATCATTGGGCTAAAGAAGGCGAGCTAACTTTTTACGTGTTGCTGCTGAACTAGTAAAGTTACCGATTGTATTTTATTTTAGTCGGACACACTGAAAGCAATACGAGCAAAATACCTGGCACAGCAGGAGCAGGCAGCAAGGAACACCCCCCGGTGAGCCGAGGTGGCAGCGAGCCCTCCTCCTTCCCACCTTGGGCTCCGTCCTGGTGTCTGTCTGCCTCCTGTCCTCACCTCCTTCCCCACAGCACATCCTACGGTGGCCATCCCGCATCCCCCACCAAGAGCCAGCCTTCCCCTGCGCACAGCAGCACCGGGACCCCACTGAAAGCTTTGGTGCCCCATCCCGAGCAGATGCCCGGAGCGGCGCAGTGCCTCACAGCCACTGCCCTGGTGCCAGCCAACATCTGCTAACACCTTCCTAACCCTCCGTGTCCGTGGGCCTCCCCAGTGCAAACTGCAGGCAGCCAGGCGAGGCGGGTTACACGCCCCGGGTAGGATGTTGGCAGAGAGCAATTTGGCTCCTTCTCCACTCGGAAGAGCGTTTCCCTGCAGACACCGAGGCTGGCAGGAGCAGCTGAAGGCGCACAGTCAGCCCAGTGCCCGCAGCTAGCAGGGGAGAGCCCCAGGTGCGCTGAAACAGCCGGGACCCCCCCACGGCGCCTGGAGGCAGGGGCAGGGGGCACAGAGCCGCCCAGGGCCGGCCAAGGCTCGGGGGGCTCCGGGGAGGCTCCGGGGGCCGCCGTGCGCTGGGGCAGCGGCGCGCTCATGCTTTAGGAATGCGCCCCTGCTCCTGAGACATTACCCAGCTGCCTGCAACCCCCCCTCCCCGGATAAATGTTTAACACCGAGCTGCACGGCGAGCAGAGCCAACTTCGTCCCTTTTTCTGGAGGGGCCGGGGCCGTTCGCCCCCTCCGGTCGCGCCGCTGCCCAGGGCAGCTCCCTGGGGACCCCCCCGAGCTGGGAACCCCCCCGAGCCCGGCTCCTCCCCGTGCCCAGGACCCCCACCCCAGCGCTGCCGCCCCCCCCGTGCCGGTGAGCCCCGACCCCCGCCAAGCCCCCAGCCCGGCGCTGTCCCCCCCCTGCTCCCCGCGGGGCTCCCCAGGTCCCCGCGCCCCGAGCGCTGCGCGCACCTCGCTCCGCCGCCGCTCCCGGTCCCGGCTCCGGCCCCGGCTCCGCAGCGAGGCTCGGGCGGGGCCGCCCCGGTCTGGGGCCGCCCGCGGGGGGGCGGAGCGCACGGGGCCGAACCGAGCCGGGCCAGGCCGGGCTGGGCTGAACCGGGCCGGGCTGAGCCGAGCCGGGACCCAGCCCCGCGCTGCCCCCGTCCCCGACGGGCTGAGCCCGGCTCCCCCCAGCCCAGCCCCGTACCCCCCCTCCGAGGTACCCCCGGGTGTCGTTACCGACGAGAGCAGAGGGGCAGCCCCGGTACCGGCCCCCAGCCCCCGTCCTCCCGTCCTGCAGCCCCCGGATCCCCCTGAACTCGGATTCCCCCGGACCTCCCCGATCCCCGAGGCGCGGGCAGGGAGCGGCAGCCCCGGTCCTGGCCCGGGTCCCGGCTCCCGCTCGGTTTCTATTTTGGGCTCTCGGGGACGACTCCTCCGTAATTTGTCGAGCCCCAGGCCAGGAGCTGGCGCCAAAGGAAATGTTTTCGGAGGGAGAAAGGGAACCGCAGGGGCAGCGCTCAATGCAGCCCGTGCCCGCCTCGCCCAGCAGCTGCGGGAGGCTCCCGAGAGCGACTGGGGGAACTGGGCTGCACCAACTGGGGGAACTGGGCTGCATGAACTGGGAGAACTGGGCTGTGTGGGCGAGCATCGACCCAGGAGCACCAGGACGGCGGGGGTGTGAGCACAAGGGTGCTTCCAGCAAGCAGCCCACCCAGGATGTCCCAGCTCCACAGCCACAGGAGGGGTCCCGCGGGCAGGGAGACCACCGGGGTGCTCACCAGCCAGGGCCCCTTGGGTCACCGACCCCCCTGTCCCCACGTGTGAGGGTCTCAGGGGGCTCGGGCTGGTGCAAGGGCAGAGGGACAGCAGCTCGCACGATTACCAAGCCTGCCTACACAAATTAATCAGCACTAATTGGCTTTTAGGTAAGGCTTCTTTGCAGGAGTTCTACAAGCGAGTCTTTGCGGTGGGATTGCGAGTGGCACCTTTATTTAAACAGTGCCAGGCCAGGGCAGCTGCTCCAGTCCCAGCATCTCCCCCTGCCCCCTTCAGCACAAAAACATCAACAGGTTAAAACCCTCGCTGGATGGCTTTCACTGCCACTGAGTGCACCCAGTTTATTTACATCTCACTGATTACAAGGGACAAACACTCACCAGAGGTGACACCCGACGAGAGCTGGCCGCACCCAGTGCCAGCAGCACACCAACTGCTGGGGCCACGGCGCCTTCCAAAGCGAGGGCTGGGGTCTGGCTGCCCCCCACCACCCCACAACAGCAGCCCTGGCGTTGTGCTGGGATGTGACACTCCGCGGAGGTGCAGGTCAGAGGTGTGCAGGGTGCAGAACAAAATACCACGGAGAGAAAACTGCTGCTACAGCTCTGCTCAGCACCGGTCTGAGACGAAGGAAAAGGACCGAGCTGCCTTTTCTTTTTCCTTTTTTTTCCCCCAGTGACAACCAAGCTGCTTTTATTGTGGGTTCCCAGCCCTCAGCTAAGCAGATCCATGCAGCGTGTTTAAGCTGTTAAGCTTGGCTGAACGGGGCTGCTCTGCAACTGCTGCTCAGCAGTGGCCAAATTAGAACCGCTCAGAAACACAGACCTGTATTCCTACCACCCCGTACCGGGAAATAACTCAGACGCTTCCCAGCTCAGCTCTACGGTTAACAATAAATAATTGGCTCTAGAAACACAGCAGTGATCCAAGGCATGAAGAGATGTGGTGGGCAGAGCCCGTGGCACAGCCAGGGGCTGGCAGACACGTGCAAGTGCAACAGCTCCCGTCCTGCCAGGTGCTCGCCGTGCGCCGCAGGGCACCGAGCGCTGCCACGTCCTCCGAGACCAAGTGCCCAGAGGAGCCCAAGGGGGCAAGCACAAGGCTGGGGCATCAGCTGTGGGGCTCACCCCTTACCCCAGCACCCCCAGGTGGGCTGCTCGGGGCTGGGTATGGTTCCAGCTGCCAGCAGGGCTCCCCTCCAGGCCACAGCCATCCGGACGCAGCACCCAGCCCAGCGGCAGCAGCTTCAGTGTCCGTGGTGCAAACTTCACAGGGCAGGGGGCAGGAGGTGACTGCAGCAGCAAGCACAGGGCTCACCAGGCAGGAGTGCTCGGCCTCCCAGCCCCACGGCTGTAACCAGCACCTCTGGGCCAGGGCGAGGCACCAAGCACGTGCTGAGAAGCCAAGGAGCATTTGGGCTCTTCACAGCAATCAAGAAAGTGGCAGCACGAAAAACATCCCCCAAGCCCCATCCCTGCTCTGTCCACGGCCCTTCCATCTCTGCAGGGTGCTGGGATGCAGCAGGTGAGGGGGGCTCTGGGCAGGGGCTGGGGGGGCTGCAGGCTTCAAGTTTCTCCTTGTGGGCAGCTCAGGAAACAAGCGCTGAAGGGAGAGGTGCCCCGAGGAAGCGCCGGGTCCTGCTCGCAGTCCATGCGGGCAGCGTGAGCCCCTGTGCCCCGGGTCATGGGGCATCACGTGTAGTTCCCTGGGCCCCCCAGGGGGATCACGAAGACGGAGATGTCATCGCCGGAGCCCAGCCTGTCGTTGGGCAGCCGCCAGCCCCGCTCCTTCAGGACCCCCCTGGAGCGCACCACCAGCTCCTGGGCCACCATCGTGTACCTGGGTGGGTAGAGCACGGCGCGGGTCAGCAGCACCCCAAACCCACGGCCAGCAGGCTCCAAGGCACCACGCTGCCAGCCCCAGCAGTGAAGGAGAAGCTGGAGGAGCCAGAGGTGCAGGAAAGGCTCCCTCAGAGCCACCCAGATGCGTTGTGTCCTGTGGAGCAACAGCCCCAAGGCCAGCGGGTTCGTGGCCACGACGCTGCTCCAGGGAGCGAGACCAAGGGGGATGTCACCTGCAGGCCACGCTCGTCCCCTCCCCACTCGCAGCTCACCTGCACGGGTCATTGGGCTCGTAGCTCGTCAGCACCTCCATCACCACGCTGGCCACCTCCTCGTCATTGGTGACATCCCAGAGCCCGTCGGTGCCCAAGACCAGGACGTCGTCAGGGCAGTGCTCGTACTGCGTGAGGTCGTAAACCCTCACCTGGGAACCAGCGGGGCAGGACACGAGGGTGAGGGCAGAAAAGGCTCATGGACAGCCCCCCGGTACCACCACACGCTCCAGTCCGGGCACCCCTGACCAGCTCCAGCCCTCACAGGAGCCCTCGGGCGAGGAGCAGCCAGAGCCAGGCTCACCTCCGGGAAGCAGGACAGGAAGGGCTTGATGTGGATGTTGGAGCTGAACACCTTCAGGTCGTGGTCTCCCAGGCCACGCGTGACCCCGATTGTGGCCATCACCCGAGCCTGGATAAGGCAAAACCAAAAGAAAGCTTGAAGCTTTTCTCTTTTCTTTGGAGGGGCACCACCAAACCGCCCCCCTCCCAGGCAGGGGGACCCCACCCCGCACAGCTCATGCCCCGCACTCCACCTTTTTGCCTTCCCCATAGATCAGTGGAAACTTCAGGTCGTCCTCCTCGATCTTTTTGTAAGCCCTGGTTAAAGCAAGCCAGAGGCAGCGTGTCAGCAGGCGGGCAAGAGCTTCCAGCACCTCCCCTGCGCGCTCGGGACACGGCCAGGCGTCCCCAGACAGGACACCAGGTGCCTGGCACACCCCAGGGCCCACACGAGGAAGGGGGCTGGAGCTGGCAGCCTCCCGGGGGGCAGCAGGGTTACCAGCCGTTCATGTTTTGGTCTCTGTACAGCATCTTCTTCCCCAGCTCCTTGGGCTGGATCCTGCGGGGGAACTCGAGGTGCGTGAACTCCTTCCCCAGCAGCTCAGGCCTCAGGAACGCCTGCGGGACGAAGCAGGGGGCTCAGCCGTGGTGCCAGGAGCTGGCGTTAAGCCGTGTGCCCCCAAACCACACGGGACAGCCGGCACGGCAGCCTGCCGGGAAATGGGGTGGGGGTAACATTGGCTGCTCTGACCCCAATGCCAGCAGGGAGCAGTGCCACAGCCTCCGAGCCACCCTCCTGAGCTACACCCAAGGAGAGGAGCAGCTCGAGGTGGCCACGCCAACGCCAAGCAAGGACACCTCTTCCCCAAGAACATGTCCTGGCTGTGGAGAACATGTCCAGAGCTGTCACCGTGCTGCTCCCCCCCAGGGACCCAGCCCTGGGGCCACCTCCCCAGCACCCTGCAGGTGTCAGCCTCAGCTGCATCCCACAGACCCCCAGCCCCACGGACCCCAGCACGCCCTGAGCCAGGCAGCCCCGGCCGAACCCTGTGCCAGCAGCCCTGGAGCTTCCCCGAGCACAGCCTGCAGGCACCAGGGATCAGGATGATGCTGGAAAATGCAAGTGGAGGAAGAGAGGAGCTGAAAGGAAGGGCAAGAGCTCTCAGGGAGAAGGGCGGTGTTGGTGCAGAGGCACAGAGAGCCCCTCCATGGCCTGGCCACCGCACGGCCCCGCGCATCGCCGCCGGCCGGAGAGGATCCTGCTCACAGCAATTTCTTCCCCGTGGTCATTCAAAAATAGATTTGAGAAAAAACGCCTTAGTGTTTGTCCAAATACGCTGCAAGCCAGGAAATCCCATCCAGCAAGACCTCCTCCAGCAGAAACGCCTCCTCCTCCCCCGTGCTGCCGTCAGAGAGGTCTTTATAACCTTAAAAAGTCTCATTGTGCGGCACGGAAAGGTTTGTCCAGGACGAGCAGGAGAGGGAGCTTTCAGGAAGAAAGCTCGAAATCCGCCGGCACACTTCAGCTGCCCCCCAGGGGGCATCCAGGCACTGAAAGTAGGGCTGAGCACAGCGCTGCAGGCCCCCCAAATGCACGAGGGGACACCACGGGTGCGGGGCACGGAGCCGTGATCCCCTGCAAAGCAGCCTGGTGGGCACACAGGACATGGTGCCACCACGGGGAGGGGACACCGTGTGGTCCTGGGGCAGGAGCTGGATGCGATGGGCTGAACCAGCTCCAGGAACTTCTACCAACACGGTGCTGGTGCCGTGCCAAGACCCCTATTATTCCCAGTCCCACAGCGAGCCAGGAGCCCAGCAACCACGGCACAGCGAGCGGGGGCAGCTCCCGAGCAGCACCCCCCGGCCAGGACGGATGGGTGCCCACAGCCCCCCAGGAACAGCCCTGGCAGGGAGCACGGGGGGCTGCAGAGGGGCCAGGAGGTGGCTCGGCAGGAACGAGAGGAGAAGAAAGGTCTTTCTTACTAAAAACTGCAGCCTCTGCCTCTCTGTCTCTGGAGTAAACTCCCTGGACATTGGAATGATTTCCCCGTTACGGATGATAATGGCCCTGCAATGAGACATGGAAGGATGAGATTAGAGAGGAGGAGAGGGGATGGGGTGGGCTGGCTCAGCTCGGGGCAGCCCCGCTGGGTCCCTGCCCCAGGGGCACAGCGTCCTCCCCCCGCTGCGGGCCCTCTGCCCAGCCCCAGCTGCAGGGACAGCGGCTCCTGGCTGGCACAGCCGGAGGGAGGACAGGAAAATGGAAGGGAAGCGGGGGGCAGAGGGGATGGAGAGCAAACCAGAGGAAGGGGTATGGTTAGAGAGGGAGCAGCACGAGGGTTACAGAGCCTCTGTTAGCAGGGAGCTGCACACAGGACAGGCAGAAGCCACCAGCAGCAGGACGGGGGTGCAAGCGCCCAGCCCGCACCCACAGCAGTGCTGCGGGTTAAAAAAGTGTTTGATGGGTTACACAATGGCTGCTTATGAGATGTTTCTGGAGGTCTGGGGGCACCGAGGATCTGATAACCATGGCCCATCTGCCCCACTCGCTGTCCTGTCAAGGGCTGCAAGTCCCCTCCAGGGACCCAGCCCCACGGCACCCCATGGCCGACTGGCAGAGGCTGAGCACAATCCCTGCTCATCGCCTCCAGCCTCTGCTCACGGCTCCATGCCCACGCCACTCTGCACACCCCCAGCAGCAAGGCACCGAGATCTCCTCCGCCATCCCAGGGCAAGAAGCGTTCAAACCAGCTTCGCCCTCCTGCTGGACGTCCTGCAGCCCCTCAGCACACCAGGCAAACATGGAGAGCACGGCGAGGCACAGCACGGCACGGCACGGCACGGCACGGCACGCTGTCCTCAGGGCTCATGATCAGGCTGCTCCTGCCCTCCCCCAGACAGCCCCAGCTCCTCACCGCCCTGAAACGGGGGCAAGCCCTGGTACGGGGGGAAGGCCGGGGACTGTACCTGCTGTCACCAGCGTTGGCCACGTAGAACTTGCCCATGAGGTAGACGGCGGCCAGGGCACAGCAGCCCCCGGAGATGCTCTGGGATGCCCGCTCCTGCTCGATCTGGTCGTCCTGGGGAGACAGAGAGCGGGTCTGGGCAGCACGAGCAGCAGCCCCTGCCAGCAAGCAGAGGTCCAGGCAGCCCAAAATAGCATCCTGCTGCTCCGTCAGGCTGTGGCCGGGCACCTCGCCCCACACAGCCTGGGGTCCTGTGGGCAGCAGGGGCACAGCTTCCCCGGGGCTGTGGAGAGGGCAGGAGAGAACAAGACGGGAGGGGACTGCTGGAACGAAGTGCGACCAAATCCTGCACCCACACAGGCCCCGAGCCCAAAGCCTCTGTGCTCTGAACCCCTGAAATAAGGGACAGCAGCACACCAGGGCAGGAGCCGCCCTGCCAGGAGCCCTCGCTGCAGACCTGCCTCCTGCTGGAGGGGGCAGAAAGCAAAGCAAACGCCCCCAGCCAGCACCCAAGGGGTGTCCCCGCAGGCTGGGGATCACTCACCATGTGCTTGAAGGCGTTCTCGATGGCACCGATCACCAGGCTCTCATGAGACACTGCTTTCTCCAGGTGAAAGCGTGGCAGGGCATCGCTGGGGACCTCTCCGTTGTCCTCTGTGAGGGGCGCCCTGGCTCAGCTCGGCTGCGCCAGCCCTGGCGTCGTGCTGGAGGCAGATGGGAGGCGGGGAGGGGTCCTGCAGGATGTCCACCAGGTCCCGCAGCTGCTCGCAGATGTGCAGGTGGAGCCTTTTGGATGCCATGACGGCAGCGCCACTGCCCGCGTGGCCATCAAACAAAGCCCAGTAGTGGAAATAAAATCCCTTCCTGCCCTGCGGGGAGAGAGAGGAAGGTTCAGCAAGTGTCGTGAGGAAGCAGATGATGGGGAGCGGGGAGTGGGGGCTCTGCCTCGCGTGTCCCAGCCCTGCACTGACACCCAGCACCGTCTCTGGCAGCTGGCTCCTTGGGGACAGCCCGCAGGGGCACGTTGGCCAGTGCCTCCCGGTGCCAGCCAGCCCCAGTCCAGCAGCAGGGCACAGCAGCTGCTGTGGCTCTCCCCCCGTGCGGCTCTCACCCCATCCAGCTCCCCGCTGCCATCCCCGGAGGGTTGGCGGCCCCTGGGGCTCGGCCTCCTCTCCACAAACACCACCTCGCAGCACGCCTGGTCCTCGTTGTGCTGGCTCTTCCCCGCATTTATCACCCTGCAAGGAGGGAAGGAGGTGTTAAGGCTCGCTCTTTCGCACCCAAAATACCAGGTTTTGCCCATGGGTACTCCAGAAAACCCGACCCTAATTCACTGGCTGAGAACAGGGGTGAGCCAGGCTCCTGGCCATGGCAGAGGCTCCCCCAGCAGCACCTCACCCCCTTGTCCCCATTCCTGTCCCCATCCCTGCTCCTCACAGGGGCTCCCATCCCATCCCACACAGCAGCAGTGAGGTGAGCAGAGGTCCCAGACCTGGAGCAGTGGCAGCTCTCGGTCCCCCTGCGGGGAGGTGGCCAAAAAAAGGTGGCCTTGCCGCAGGTCCCCACCGCTGCCCCAAGCAGAGAAAATGCCTAAAACCCTGCACAGCCTCAGCACACGCACAGCCAGCCTGGGCTCAGACCCTGAGAGGGGATTTTGGCCTCATCGCCAGAGCAGCACCGCTCAGAGGGCGCAGGTGGCTCAGAGGGGAGGAGATGAAAATGAAACCAGCAGAACTTTTGCAGAACGACTCGCATCGACTTTTTGCAGCTTCTGCTGGCAAAGCAGATTTCAGCTCCAGATTGCCAAACCTGCTCACGGGGGGGGGGAAGGCAGTAATTGTGCACAAGAGCTATTTGGGCACGGACTTTTCAAGCGGTTTGCAGAAAGAAGTCTCGGGACACAAAGAGAAGTCCTGGTGCTGAGCAGAGGGCGGGTTGCCTTTGTTCCCCCCAGAGCCTGCAAAGTTCCTGCTCTGCAGAGATCGAGCACTGGGGCTCCCCCAGCAGCTCCCCGGCCAGCTGGCACCTCGGGGGGCTCCCAAGGCCCCGGGTGGACCCGGCTGCGTGCGGGATGCGGGAGCAGAGCGGTGTCACCGAGCAGTACCGGCCGCCTTGCCACCTGCCTTCAGCTCGGGGGCGAAACTCCCCCTCCAGTAAAAGGAGAAGAGAAGCGGGGCCCTCGGAGGGGAAGTGGGAGTCAGGTCCTGCTCCCAAACCAGCTTCAATTCCCTCCTCACCCCTCCCGGGACCTGCTCGAGCAGTTCCTTCCCCCCGGTGTCGGTTCCCGGTCGGTGACAGCGGCACCGGGCACATCGGTGCCAAAACCAGCGGAGCTGGGAACACGGCGTTCAGCCACCCCCCCGGCTTCCCCCCACCCATCCCATCCCTCCCCCGGCCCCGACCCATCCCTAACACCCCCAGGGGCATCTCGCACAACCGTTAACGGGCGGTGGGGTCCAGCCCCGCGCCCCCCCCCAACCCCCAGCCCCTCTCACTCGGCGTAGCCCGTGCTCCAGGGCAGGCGGCGGCGGCCGTCGCGGGGGCTCTGCACGGCCCTGCCCGTGTGGTCGTCGGCCCGGCGCAGCTCCTCGGGCGTCAGCTGCAGGAAGGCCGGCCGGCAAAACAACGCCGCTGCCCCCCCGCTGCCACCACCGCCACCGCCACCGCCGCCGCCGCCGGTCCCCGCTCCGCCGCCGCCGCCGCCGCGCCGGGGCTCGGCCGGGGGCTGCGCGCCCGCCCCGGGGCCCAGCCCGGCCACCAGGTGCCCCACCGCCGAGCGCACCCGCAGCAGCATGCCGGGCCCAGCCGTGCCGAGCCGAGCCGAGCCCGGTCCCACCGCCCCGCCCCGAGTCCCGCCCCGGTACCGGGGCCGCCGCCACCGCCCTCCCCCGGCGGGAGCCGCGCTCCGGGAGATGCTGCAGCGCCCCCCGGGGTGCCCGCAGGCTGGGTTAGCCCCGGGTTAGCCCCGCTGCCGGCACCCCGGCTCCTGCCCAACGCGGAGTCGGGACCGGGGGGAGGCGAGGTCAGTGCCGCAGCCCCCCCGGGGCGCAGCTGGGGACCCCCGGCGGGCAGCTCGCCGCTCCTCCCGGTGCTCCTCCCGGTGCTCCTCCCGGTGCTCCTCCCGCTGCCAGCCCCGCAGCAGCCTGCACGGTGTGGGGCAGCGGCCGGCAGCGCTGGGAGAGGCCGCGGGAGGCGCAGGAGCAGCAGGGAAAGGGACACGCGTGTGCTGCCCGCCGGCTCCCCCTGCCCACGCGTGCCCGCTGCCCTCCCCGTGCTGTGCCGGTGAGCGGGGGGGCGTCCAGCCTGGTGCTCCCCGGGCTGCAGCAAAGCCACCTACTCCGCCACGGCATCTGCTTCCCGAGGCAGGTGCTTTGTCACTCTCCCTGCGCTCCCCGGTGAAACCCAACCCACTCGCAATCGCGCCAGGCTATTAATAACGAGCCAGCCTGCAGAGGAGCTGCCGTGACTCAGGGCTGGGAGCAGAACCTCTTCCTTCCACTCAGGCTGCAAGAGGCCAGCCCTGGCTGAGCCGGGGTAACGCGCTCCCGCTGGAGGAGCTGGCAGTTCTGGCACAGCCTGACCTCAGCACCTGCCTTCCTCTGGGTTCCTATGACAACAACAACAAAAAAAAAAAACGCTGAAAAAACACCATGTTGCCCTGCTGTAAAGCAAAATTGAGTTCGTTTGCAAGGACCTGCGTGCTCCAGTGCCCTCGGTTCTCCAAGGGAACTGCTTTCTTCCTTTCTGTACAGGTCTTCCGTGCTGCAAGGTCTGAGCAGAAGCACCTCACTGCTAGCTCCATAAAGCTCTGAGTGCTTTAGCCTGCACTCTTGGCTAGATCTTGCTTAATTATAGCAGACTGTTAAGGTCAACCTATGGATGCTATTCAGCACTCCCTGTATTCCTTTTATCCCTAGCTTCAAGTTACTCAGCAGTCTGTCACATTAAGGTCCCCGCACACCCAGACTCGTACCTCCCTTCCCAGTCTGCTTTCTGATGCCTACTCTCAACGCCCCTGTTTGAAGCTCTTGCTTCATTTCTTGCCTTCTTTTGCACCACCTGGGTGTCCCCGCTGTTGTTTGCCTCCAATTCAATTATCCCCTGCTCTTTCTCCCACCCTTTAATAAGGGTGCCACAGGAACGAGGGAGCCCCGGGGGAACTGCTGCTCTGCAGCTCCCTGAGCCGCAACACGGCTGAGGTCAGGCTCCTCGCTGCATTTCGACAGGGGTTCAAATTTCACCGTGCACTTTTTATCTGACCGTAGGGACCTCTGAACCTCTGCTGCCTGCCCGGAGCTGGGCGAGGACCTCTCCTTGCTCAGCTCTTCCTCCACCTCCCCGCTGCGCCCCCCGGCAGGATTCGCGTGCGCCCCTTCCCCGGCGCCCCCCTCCCCTGCCTGCCCCTTCCTTTGTGGCTCCACCGGGGGGGCGCGGGGCTGCAGGGGGGGCGCGGGCGCGGGCTGCAGGGCGGGCGGTGGGCGCTGGGGGGCGGCACAGGCTGCGCCACGGCCCGGGCGCGCTCCCGGCCCCCCCCCCGGCCCTCCCCTCTCGTCCTTCTGGCCGTGCCCGGGCCCCGGGAGCATCCCCTGTGCCGCCCAGGTCGCGAAGCAGCGGCCCGGCAGGGCTGTTCCAGGATGCTTTCCTTGGAAAGAAGGAAATGGAAGCGTCCAAAACGAGGCGGATCTTGTTCTGTAGGCTTGCTTTTTCCCGTTACGCTGAGCACCACGCAGAAGGAATGGTCTGACATCAAAGCACGGTGCAGGGATTGTGCCCTGAAACAATGCGGTGCTAAAAGCTGTTTTCCAAGAAAGGGAGCTACGTTTCCTCCCATTCATCGTGCCCACAAGCTCTCGGCGAGGTTTCCTCCTCGTCTGCCGTCCTGGCGAGCCCTTTCCCGGTGCCGCCTGTGTGTGTGCCGGGGTTCGCAGGGGGTCACAGACTGAGTCAGGCTGCAAGAGCCGGGGAGCAGCTCCAGGAAAATCCCCCGTGGCTAACCGGGACGTCATCTGCTCTGCCCTCGCATTTCCCACTCCGGGATTCCCTCCTGGGGTGCCCTCTGCCCCCTGCTCCCCGGCTCAGCCAAGCCGCACCAGGGGCTCACCCTGCTGGAGACGGCTCCGGCTGCCCCCTTGCTTGGCAGAGCTGCTGTCCTGGAGAAGCCCACCAAAAGCCATCAGCTTTCTGCTTCCAAACTCGGTCCTGGAGGCATCTCCACCCCCAGGCTGTAGCGAGCTCCTTCCAGCACAACAGAACTGCCGCAGCTCCCCTCGAGTGGGCGATTGCTTGCGTTGATCTAAACCCAGGGGTTCTGCGTGCTGCTCTGCATCATCTGAGAATCTCTGCTCATGCTAAACACTGACTAAAAACTAGTAGCAAGGGAATTGGGCTTAAATTTTGCCACTTTGCTTCATTTCTCGTGCAACTGCTCATCATTAAAAAAAGCCTTTCTAATGTTCATCATTCCTATGCATTGCTGGGCCCCAGAGGAGATGGGATGAAGCCAGGGATATCTGAGCTGTAATGCACTTTCTGGTAAGAAAATGTGAAAGAATGACATGTTGGTGGCATTTAAGCCAGTATGGAAGTAAATTAAACATCTTGATCATAAAAGTACCAGAGGATGTTTTAAAATAAGCTCTTTGCAGCAGTGCATTAGTCGACTGCACAGCTTTACTGTGTAATGAGCAATATATTAATTTATAATTAGTGTAATACAGTGAAGCTCAGCAAATAGCTCTGCACTCTGGATAATTCATCAACAGAAGAAGCAGCTCTTAATGGTTTCCAAGGTTTGCCTGTCCCCTGTAATTGGGAAGTTCAGAATTTATTGTTATTTCTTTTAAGGGATAATGTGAATGCAACCACACATCTTTATTCCATGTCTGTTCCTGCTCGAGTGCAGAGAAGCCCTGGGAGCACTGCGGCTCGGGGCTCATCTGTGACCCCTTTGCAGCTTGTGGCAGACCAAAGGACCCCGTATTTCCTGCAGGCTTTTACCACCTCCCTCTGCTGCAGAGGGGGAGGTCAGCAGGTGAATCTCCTCGAGTCGCTTGGCTTTTGCCCCTTCCCTGATGCTACCAGGACTGACTTACCCCTTCCACACTGCCCAAGGGATCTTTGCACTAAAATCTGCTCTCAAAGGCTTCAGGGGAATGCACAGCCCCCGCCCCCTCCCTTCCTCTCGGTAAAATAATGGACTCCTTGAAGAGTCATAGCCAGGAACGAGAACAATGTTGAAGACTGCTGCTGGGAAGTCTAACAAGAAGTCAGGGGGGAAGAGAAATTACCGTGTTCTCTTCCACCGGAATTTAAATGAAATCTGTTTTACTGAAGTCTTAATTCTTCCCCTGCGTTGAAATGCTGTGATCTGGAAAGCAGCAAGTTTGTACTTCTATACTATTACATCAATAAAGAGCTTGATTTTGTATGCTTCCTTATTGAATAATCTGCCCTAATTTAATTGGAATTTGGCTGATGTGAAAGGTGGTTTTGATTGCATTTGCTCTTGATCGTTCCCATTAAAACTTTGTGATCTGGAAAGTAATATGTTTGTATTTACTTATCACAGCAATAGACTTGAATTTGTGGACTCTCTGTCAAGTTACCTGATGAATATAAACAGCAGATTTAATTTTGTTTCATATCGATTTTTGCCATTATTATTAAAACTCTCTGATCTGAAGAGTAAGATGCTTGTATTTCCTTAATATCTTCTAACTGGAGTTTGGATTAATCTCGCAGAGCTTTTCCCCTTTCTTTTGAGCAGCCAAGTCTAATCAACTGGAACCTAACCCGATAAGGCAATTTTCCCCCTTAAAAAGGGGGGAAAGAAACTCAGTTCCATTTAGTGAAATAGCAGACGAAGTGTGCTCTTATCGAGGGCTTCTTAATACCAGGAGTACTTTTGCCTGGCTTCCTGCACTTAGGGTGCCTCTGCCCAGGGAGGAGGCCAAGGAGGCAGCTGCATCGGGGCTGCCTGGGGCCAGGCAGTGCCTCCGTGCTCAGCTTCCTCCAGCACTAATTGTTTTCACTGATCTGGACCGGAGACGCTATAAATCAAACCAAGATTAGAAAGGGATGAGGCTGGGTTTCTGCAGCGGATACATGGAGGGGAGAGAAACCTTCCCAGTGGGGAATACTGTCTGTCCTGCATCCTTTCCTAGGAAAAAAAAAAAAATAATAAAGCTGGAGACATTGGATGGAAGGCCTGTGGAGACAGAGGTTGTGGTTTGCTCTAAGTGGCTGCAGAAACTGCTTGGATCAGAGAAAGAAAACCAGGTCAGACGATGAGGCTTGCCAGACGCACGGAGCATGAGAGGAGCTGGAGCCACAGCTCAGGGGAGCAGGATGGAGCCAGGCCGGGTCCGGTGTGCACCAAAGCCACAGGAGAGGGTGCTGGGTGGCCTGAACATGGCACTTCACTGGGGGGCTCAGCAGAGCCCTGTCTAAGATTGGTGCCCTGGCTGGGGAAAGGGGATGTGGAAAGGTTTTGGTGATCTCATGGAAATAAAACAGCCATGAGATCTGCAAGCTGCCCACGTGTGGGTTGTCTGAACAGCTCCTTGGTCTGTGGCTCTTTGCTGAGACCTTCCTGCTCCGGGTTACCCCACCCAGTGCTCCCAGCTGGCTGGGGGCATGAGAGGTCCAGGAGTAACCTGTGAGCTGTCCTCAGAACACCAAGACTCAAACTGTTTGGGCTAAAGCAAAGAAAATGACTTACACCTAGTTCCAACCTGTCTCCTCAGCTGACCTGCGGCTGTGAGACCAACTCCTGTCCTTTTTTCAGTGCCACACGCCGATGGCAGCAATCGCTGCGAAAATCTGACCTCGTTTTGCTGGTGTTTTACAGCCTGCTGCTGTCCCTTGTTAGAGCTCTGTCCTGGGGGGACCCACAGGGTTTTTTGGGTCCAGTCTGAGAGCTGCTGTGGGGGCACATCCATCCCCGCCCCGTTTCTCGGTCCCTCGTGCCAGGCGTGAGAGCATCCTGCGGGGCTGGGCGCGGATCGGTGCCGCTTTTGGAGCTGTCAGCTCTAAGAAAGCCGCGGCTTTGCTGGCATCACCGTGAAGCCGGGGTCCTGCTGTTTTTGGGGGGTGCTGCGGGAGGGGGCCCCGCTGTCTGTCCGTCCATCCGCCCGTCTGTCCGGTGCCGTGTTTCGGAGGGAGGGACGGGTGCGCGCTCAGGATGCTCTCCGCTCTCTGACTGATAGCACCGACCGACCGGGGCTAATAACGGGGGGGCGGGCACGAGCCTCTCCAGCACGGACGGGGCCGCGGGGGGCTGGGGGGAGCACCGGCAGCTCCCACCGGTGCCGGTGCCGGTGGCGGGGTGGCGGCAGGCGGCGCTGCGCCCCTTCGCGCCGGCGCGGGCACCGGGGCCGCCCGGCTCCGCGCCCCGCCGCCCCCGCCGCGCCCAGCCCCGCCGCTCCGAGCCGAGCCGAGCCGAGCGCTGCCGCCGCCCGGCGATGCCAGCCGGCCCCCGGCCGAGCGGCCCCGGGAGGAGGCACTGACGGCGGAGCGCACGGACGGCGGCCATGGGCAGCGGCGGCCCCGGCCCGCACGGACGGCACCGGCAGGTACGTGCGGCACGGCCCGGTATGGCACGGCACGGCCCGGTATGGCACGGCCCGGTATGGGTATGGCACGGCCAGAAAGTTGGGGGCGAGCTGCGAGGGCGCCGCGGATCGGGACCGAGCGGCAGCGCCGTCGGGGACCCTCGCCCCTTCCCGCCGCGGAGGGTCCGGGATGCCCGGAGCGGGGCCGCCCCGTCGGGGCCGTCACCGGGGAGCCGGGCCGGGGAAGGCGGCGGTGCCGGGAGCCTTCCCCCGGGGCTGGCCGCGGGGGGCTCGGGCGTCGGGCACCGACCGCGGGGCTCCGGAGGCGGTGGCCGCGTCCCGCGCAGCCCCAGCCGGCCTGGGGGGGGGGGGGCTGGGGCCGGTCCTGCTCCGTGTCCCGGCGGTGCGGTGATTCTGCCGGACCCGCAGTTTGGGGAGACAAAGCGCTGCTTGGGAGCTGAGGGGTAACAACCGTGCTAAAACGCATCCTCCTCCTGGAAGGGGAACTCGAGACCGACCACTGCCTTCCCTGGGTGCCAGCTGCCCCTTGCAGCCAAAGCTTTGGGCAGCAGTGGATGGGATGCGGGCTTAGATCTTCCTCTGCTTTGTTTCTCGCTGGTACAATTCCTTCGGCAGGGGAGGATCTGCTTCTGGCTCCCTGCTGGCTTGGGGATGCTGGAGGGGAGCTCCTTGCACTGCTGGGGCTGCGAGGGCAGGCACCGTGCTCCGGGGGGGGGCACGGCTTGTGCCAGCCCCATCCCGGAGGCAGGCAGGAGCGGGTGCATGCTGCGGCACTGGGCAGGGAGAAGGAGCACTGCTGGACCAGCCGTGCCCTGCTCGTGCCATCCCCATCAGCACCGTGCGAGGCTGGGGGGCCGTCAGCCCCCTGGGACAGCCCGTGGCCATGTGGGGTGGCCGTGCCCTGGGACAGCCCCACCGGTGCTGGGCACCCACACCCAGAACCCGCACAGGTGAGAAGTGGAGCCTGCCGGGGAAAGTTGAGCTGTCAAGTGCTCTGCCTTCCTCCACTGACTTGGCTGCTGCTGACCTTGGGCTCCAACACCCCGATGCGTGGCCGTGCTCTGCCAGAGAGAGGTTCCTGGCACTGGATGAGGCCGAGGTTAGAGCTGTCAGCAGAGCTGACCTTCAGAGCGCCAGCAGCAGCTGGAGGATGGGACTCACGGAGCGAGGGGGCAGCCATCAGGCACGTGCTTGGGCTGAATTAAAGTTAAAAACTCTCCTGCTCACCTTGGCTGGGAAGGAAACGCTGCAGATGCTGGAGGAATGAGGAAGGAGCTGGGAATCAGCCAGCACAGAGGAGAGGAGGGGAGAGCACGCCTGTGGAAGGAGTGCTTTGTGCTCCTGTCAGCTCCCCTGCTGGGTTGGCGAGCACGCGCCTGGCGCTGCCCTCGTGGGCACAGCCTTGCCGGGTGCTGGGGCTGTGGGGCTCTGGGGACAGACCCTGCAGGTATACCCAGGGTAGGAGCTAAAGTGAAGGGTATGGAAGGGCTCAGCTCAGCCTGGAGCTCAAGGCGGGCACGCCAGCCCCCTCGTGCTTCCCCCAGCTCTGCAGCTGCAGCCTCAGTAGCTCCAACTTCCCACCCTTGCCTTTAATTAAGCATCATTAGTGCTGTGGAGGGAGTTCGGATGTAGCCTGTCTGCTGGCTGGCTCTGGTAACCCAAAGCTGTGGGTATGAAGGGTGCTGCCGTTGTCAGGCTGTGTCCGGGGGTGGCAGCATCCTGCTTCCAGGGCCCCTGGCTGCGGTCAGGGCTTGCAGCTTGTCCCCAGGATGCTCAGCAGCAGAGGTCAGGGCCCGAACCTCACCGCCTGTGCAGGTCTGGCAGGACTGAATGTTTCCTCGCCTGCCTGGGACAGAGGATTGTGCTGGTTTTCCCAGCCTTTGGTGAGGAGGGAGTTCGGACCTCTCTGCCAGAGCTGCCCTGCTGCTTCCCCCCCTTTTCATGGCTGAGAGCAGAGCCGTGACGGAGCCTGTGCCATGCCTTCCCGGGGGACCGTGGAGGTGTTGCGTCGCTTGTCAGGATCTTCTGATGAGGTGTCAGCTTCTCTGGAGACTCTGCAGCACCTCCACGCTGCCGTGATTGCTGCTGTGCTGCTGGCAGAGCTGCGCCCTGGGCCGAGGGGAGGGCAGCGCCTGTGAGTACGGAGCAGGGCTTGCTTATCCTGGCTCTTTGTCCTGTTCAGAAAAGGGCTCTGGGCTCATCGCTTCCCTCAGTGTGCAGCTGTGCGCTCCTGGCTCTCATCTGTGAGGTGGTCTTCAGGGAAGTTCCAAAAAACTGCCCCCACCAACGGGCAGCGTGACAGCTCCTGCAGCGCTCACGGAACGGTTTCTGCGCCTGCGGAGGTTTCCTCTCTGGCCAGGGTGTGGGGCTGCCCAGGGCTCTGTGGAAGCAAAGCGCGCTCCTTTTCTGACACCCAACAGAAACGCCGAGGTGCCAAGGTGTGCTGAAACAGCAGGAGCACTAAAATAGCTTTAAAGAAACTGGAAATCTGTAGGTGTGCGCAAAGGTTGGTGGTGCTAGAGCCGCGGCGGGGAGTTCTTGGGTTAGCTGGCACAGAAACTGCCAGCCACCCCCACCTTTGTGTTTCTTTTTTTGGGTGGAATTTTGCTAACTCCAATTATCCAGCTCACACGGACCTTGGCAAATAAGGCTCCAGACTCCCCAAACTCTGCACGTAATTTGGCGTGACAGAGAGTCCCTCATTAGCACCACGGGGCGCCGGGCTGCGCTCCAGCGGAGCTGCGGATGGAGCAGCCCTGGCTGCAGGTCACGGCGTTACGCGCCGCTCTAATGAAGAGGCAGAAGAAGTCTCCAGGTTCCACATCCTGCGACTTCTTAGAAGCGCTCGCAGTGCTTCAGTGCCGAGATCCCCGTGGCTGCTCATGATTAACTGCTGCGTAGTTCGCTGGCACTCCCTCCTACGTAGCTCTGCGCTGTATTTAACAAACGTGCTAAAAAATTAAAAGAGCTGTGTGAAGGGCTGCGGCGTGAGCCAGGCGGCAGCACTGTGATGCTCGGCAGGGCTGGGGGCTCTGCTCAGCCCCAAGAGCTGGGGTGTGCCCCCTCCTCCTGCCCAGGCAGGGGGGCTCCTGCTCCCCTCGGTCTGCTCTGGCCTTGTGTCCCTGGGGTGGAGGCGCCTGCACAAGGGCTTCCCGGTGCCCTCCGCAGCACCCAGTTTTGCCAGGCATCATGGACTGAGTGGGGCTGGCCCCACGGCGTGGTGCCAGGGGGTGTGGGAGCAGTGTGCCATGGGGGGGCGGTGGCCCTGTGCCCACATGGGAGGGACACGGACACACCTGGAGCTGCACTTGGTTCTGTCACGCTGGCCGTGACCGAGATTTATCTTCCGAGAGGTTCAGGCACTTCCCAGTTCCTCCGGGTCCCAGCTTGGACCAGATAGGTAGAAAACAGCTAACCAAAAATGTTAATGAAAAATATCACAAAATCCCAAACAAAATGGAACAGAGCGGAGAACACCGATATTTTCAATCAAAATTAAGTGCTTTGACATGCCAGAACACCGCTCTTCATTTCAAAATGACATGCCAGGCTGAGAAATTTCAAGTCAGACCAAACATTTGTAGCTGCAGTCTCACGATGATGGAGGTTGATAACTGTCAAAATAGCAATTTCTGCAAAGCTGTGTTTTTCTAAGGGGAATTTGTGCGTGAGTGAGAGCATCGAGTGCCTGTGGCAGCGGGGGGCTGAGGAGCGGAGCCAGCTCCGGTGGCCGCGGGGCTGAGCCCCTGCCTCTGGGGCTCCCGGTGCCTCCGTGTCCCCGCGCTGCTCCCGGTGCTCCCCAGGCTGTGCCGCTGCCAGCGCTGTGCCTGCCGCCGTGGCTTCCCCACGAAGCACGGCGTGGATGGCGTGGGCTGCATTATTGATAAGTCCCTGTTTTATTTATGCTCCCTGGCTGTGGAGCACAGCGCAGCCTTCTGAGCTAAAGATAGTTCACGCTGCAAGCGCATCCCTGTCCTGCGCAGGGTGGAGGCGAGCAGCGTGCTGGCTTTTTGGCTCGGATGGGAGATCCGTGGAGGCCCCACACACCCGTGGGATGGCAGGGTGTGGAGGTACAGGATGGCACCGTGTCCCCATGGCCGTGACGGTGCTGCCCGGCCTTGCCACCAGAGCAGCTTTTTGCTTTTTCATCAAGGAGCTGGTGCAGGCCTGGAGCTGGTGTCAATATTTACAAGATGGGCTGCGACCACTCCGGAGGGCACTGTCGCCGTGCAGAGCACTGTGTGGAAATGCACGCTCTGAGGAAACCTCCTGCAGATCAGATTCAGCTCACAGCCCTGCTGGAGGTTGCCTAACCACGGCTGTGCACAAGGCCGTCGGCCCGGCCTTGTCACAACAGGGTTCTCACCCTCAAAGCCAGGCTCATTTGGCCAACGCAGTGGCTCAGGCCGGGCCCGTTTCCAGTCCCGCAGCCCCTCCAGGCCCCTGCTTGCCACTGCCTGGCCACCACCAGCTCATCATCAGCCACATCTCTGGCAGCACTGAGCGGCTTCGTTAGCATTCAGTGCCTCTCCTGAGCTGCTCGGGGCAGGCCTGCAAGCTGGGAATACGGAGCCTGGGAGATAAGGGGGAGCGGGTCCAGTGGGATGGGGTGCAGTAGGGTGTCCCTCCTGGCCCAGCCAGTGCAGCCCCTTGGGCACAGCCAGGTCCTGTCCATGCATGGGTGGCTCCCAGCCCCTGCCCTGCATTGCTCCAGGGTGCAGGGTGTGGGTCCCCTTTTCTAGCCCTAATTTTTTTCTAGCCCCAAATGTGTCTTTACCATGATCACTCTTCTACTGGGAGAACATCAACATTTTTTTGTGACACTTTCTGATATGTTTTTTTTTCCCCAGCTAGGAAAATCAAAATGGAAAAATATTGTTTTAAATCAGCATTTTGGAATGAAATATTTTTCATTTCGAAATGTCAGTTTAAAAGAGACCAATTCATTTTGAAATGCTTCAAACAAGAAATGCCCTTTACCACCTCGAATCACTTTGTTTTGATTAAAAAAGTCAGTGTTTTCTGTTCTGGCACTTCATTATATGAGAATGTTTCACCATCCCAGCCTGGGCTGGAACAGACACCAATTTAGAAGATTGCTAGAAATTAAAATTTCTTCTTTCAGCAGCCCTGGCTGGTCCTGATGCCCAGCAGGCTCCTGCAGGGCTGGGGCTGGGACATGATCCCAATCCCAATCCCAATCCCAATCCCAACCACGGGCCAAGGCCAGCGGGCTCCTTTGCCAGCTCCCAGCTGTTTCCAGTGCGCGGTGCTCTGGGAGAGGGGCAGCCCTGCCAGGAGCCAGCATCTCGTCCCCTCAGAGCAGCCGGTCACACTGCGCTGCTCCGTGAGCATCCCTGGCAGAGCTGCACTGCTCCATCAGCGAGATAAGCAGGTGGGCAGCCCTTATTTCGGGGGAGCAGGTGTGCTCGGAGATAAGGGTGCAGCTTTGTGCCTGTGCGCTCCTACAAATTTTGTGAGTGTGCTGCGGTCTGTCCGGTGGTCGGTCGGTCTGTCTGTCTGGTGGCACGTGCCCAGCCCGTGGGAGCCAAAACTTGGGTGTCCCCATAAGGGACCCCCCTGCTGGGAGGAGGAATGGCTCAGGGTTGATTTACGCCGCCTCTTCCCACATGCGCTCGGTGTGTGTTTGGTGTTTGTGCTCAGCATTAATAACGCAACGAGCCAGAGTTTGCTCTCTCAGCAGTAAAACCACGAAACAACTCCTCTGAAGCTGGTGGAGTCACAACGGGGCGAGCAGCATCACGGGCCGAGTGACCGGGGACATCCCACTGGGGGTGGGGGGCTCGTGGGTGCCTGCCCCAATGCCCCCCGTGCCTTGTGCCCTCCCTGGTGCCCAGCTGCACCCCATGGGGACCAGTATTGCACCACACGATGCTTCTCTCTCCCCTTCCAGATGCGCTGATGTCTGCCCCCTGCAAAGACCCCTTCTACCTGCGGCTGGCAGATGCACGGGTGTTAGCGTGAAGCCCCAGTAAGAGGTAAATATCTTCATCTTCACTGCTGCCGACGTGGCTTTTGCTGTCCCACAGCCGTGCCCCCGCTGCCCGGCCCCTCCACAGCCCCCCATCCTCTGCACGCCTCTCTCTCTTCTTGTTTTTTTGGTAGAATGAGTGAAAGAGACATCCAAAGCTTGAGCAAATGGGTTTTAGTGCTCACTCTCTGCCTTACCACGCTATGGGGAAGACTGACCCTGGCCTCCACCCACCACAGAAGCCATTCAGGTAGGGGAAGCGATGTCCATCCACGCACAACGCGCTCCTGCGCCGCTGTCCCGGGGCCTGGTGGGTGCCACGTGGGGTCCGTGGGGGTGATGTGGCCCCGTGCAGCCCATACTGGGGTGGGAGGATGAGGTCCCCGGTCATGGCACCTCCTGCGTGGCCGAGCCGCTGCACACCAGGATCCTGGGGTCTGCGCATGTGGGGAGCTCCCGGCCCCGCTCCCGGGGCCATAAATCTGAGAGCTGGAGCCGTGCCCTGTAAGTGTCCAGCGTGGGTTATTTAAAAGCTGCTGTTCGGTGAGCCCGGCTGCTCTGTGGAGCTGGGAAGCAAAGCTCTTCGTGTCCGTATTTCCAGGTTATTACCTTATTAGATGGCATTCAAGGGTTAATTTGAAAATAGTTGTGCTGTTGCCTGACCCCACACCTAACCCTGTCCTATTTCTGTCGTTTTTCCCTGACAGTTAAAGCACTTCTAATCCTATAATCCCCATCCTCATTGCTTAAAACCAAAACGTATCTTCCAGAGTGACTCCATCAACCAGCTAGTCAGCAGTTACCTGCTTTGCCCTCATCCTAACCGCAGGTGCATGAAAAGATAAAATTCCTCGGTCACCTGTGGGATTACTCCTTGGCCCCAGCTCAGGACTCCCCAGGTGCTGGCAGGTGACCTGCAGGACCCAGGTGGGATCCTGCCTGCCCCAAAGTGGAGCCGTTACCAAAAACACTGCCCCCGTTACCAAAAACACTGCCCTGGCACATCGCCCTGGGGGTGTTTGCATCGGGAGCGACTCCGGAGCCATGGCACAGGATGATGCCAGGCAGCTTTCCAGGAGCGCTGCTCCAGCCGTCCCAGTTTGCACAGGCTCTACAGGTGCCTGTGCTCCCTTCCAGCAGAGCGAGAGCCTGGGCACGAGCCCTCAGCCCCAACGCCCAGCCCCGTTTCCCCGCAGCCAGGAGCGGCGTGCAGGGACGGCTGCTTCCTGGGGGAAAAGGCAGGCCTGGAATTAATAAAGCCGCGACTCACCGAGGTTTAAAAGTGCAAATGCCCGAGTGTATTTGTGGGGTGTGAATTATGCATAAATCTCTCTCCGTATGTGAGGAGACGACGCTTTTGTATTCATGTGTTCGCAGGCAGAGGGCTGGGGATTTTTCCCTCGCAAAGACTTATCCACAGCGGACCAAATCTCGTTCTTCTTATTCAAGCAAATTCCAACCCACAGCAAAGAGGGCGTAATAGGAGCAAATACTTAAAAGTTTGACCTCAGCTCTGTGTCTATGTATTAGCAAGGTTTCTGCCTGTACATCCTGCATTTCTGGCTACTGAAGGAATTTTGCGTGCTTGCTCTGATTGCTTCTTGCTTTCCTGGGCTGAGTTTCTGTCTGTTTGAAGCAGGAATTGTTAGGCTGCTTGTTGTGGTTCGCGGGATTCATTTCCCTCTTACCTGTCCTGTGTTTTTTCTTCATTTAGGTCAGTTTTTTGGTAAAGGTTATGTTGGGAATGCACATTTATGAGGTTGCATTCTTAGTTGCAATGACATTTTTCTCCTGGGAAGCCCCCGTTGTGTTTCTGCACGTGGAGTTGGAGTGGCGGGGTGAGATGAGGCTGCTCCCCTGCACCCCGCAAACCCCAGGGTCAGAGATGCTGATGGATGGACAGAGGGATGGACACATCCAGTGCTTTTGGCCACGTATAGTGTTGTGTTTAGTCACAGGTGTGGCACCTGAAAATGAAAAATTGCAGAAGGAAATATGCAATTGTGAAAATACAGCCACAGCTCAGAGCCTTCGAGCTCATGAATTTCTCGAAAGGAAAGAATGTGTGCAGAGCTTCTGTGTTAGCCTTTCAGGAAAACAATGCATTTTAAGCATCTGGCTTTGGAAATAAGGTCTGATCACTTATGTTCACCTCACACGTGGAGAATGCTAATGTGTGCTAATGTGTCAGAGCAGAGCAGTGTCCCGGTGTGTGTGGTTGCATTTAAATAGCCACGTGAACCATGCGCAGAGACTAACTCATTTGGAAATGGAAAAGGAGACTCCTCGGTGAAGAATGATTCACCAGCAATTTAATCCCACGTAAAACTTGGTGAGCTTTATGTGACGAGCAAGCCTCGCTGGTCTACATACGGATCCTACAGAGGTGGCCCCAGCACCTTCAGATAAGCCCCTTCATGCTGATAAGCACAGTGCCATTTTGCCTTCCTTCACATTCATCACTCAACGCAGGGCAGAAGTAAGGACCCGGTCAGCTGGGACTAGCTTTCAGGAGATGAGGTTCTCTGAGTGAAAGGAGAGCTCCGATTTCTGATATCTTCAGAGATTTACTGGCCAGCACTATTGCTGCTTCGAGCGAGGACAGCAGCTAAGTGGCTTTTATTTGTGAGGTGCTTCTGCGAGCTTCCCTCTTGTATGGGGAGATGTTGGTTTCCCCCTCGTGCACAGCCTTTAAATCGAGCTGGGATGTTTTCCCGAGCCATCTTCTCTAGAAGCTGCAGCTGGTGCCCCTGCTGTGGAGGGAGATGCTGCGTGGTGGTGGCCGTGTCCCCCGGCTGCAGCGTGCCCATGCGAGCTGATTTCTCGTGTGTAAGCACAATTCCAGCTGCTCTCCACGCAGCCCGTGCATCTGTTTTCCTGTTTGCAGATTTGGATAAGCAGTTCCTGGGTGTGTGTGCACTTGCACGTGCCACGGAGGGGAGGGGAGTAGGATCTGAAGTTTTGATATGACGAGGTAGTAAAAAAAAAAATCTCAGCTGACGTGCAGTGATAATGAGCAATAAAAACAGGCCCGCTTCGCTCCAAAAGCCTTTTAAATAATGCATGCATCTAAGGCAGGAGTGATTTTTAAGCCTTTAATTATTTAGGGAATATTAGCGGTGGGGTTGTCGCCACGCAGGGCTGTCTGTGGGCACTCGGCCCCAGGCTGTGCCATCCGTGCACCGAGGGCACCAGGACCCCACTGCCTTCCTGGCCCCTGCCCGGTGCCCCCATGCCTCGCAGCCCTCCCGAGGGCGTGCAGTGGTTTAAGGGCATTGCTCTGCCCTTCTGGACGCTGAGGGTTTGGGCTCTGCCCAGCGCTTACACTGCACTTGACTTCATTTTGCAACTTCCCACCAGCGAGCAGATATTTTACACCGAACATGTGGAGCGGTGCCCGCAGCTCGCGGAGACAAAGTGTGTCATTCCAGGTTGTGCCATAAAAAACATGTTCTGCCGCTCACTTAAAGGTCAGCCAGAGTAGGACAGCATTTTTATTTTATTTTTACATGCAGGATTCAAAAGCCTTGTGCTTTTACAATGCCTTTATGGTTCTGTGAGATAAGAGATTCTTAAAGGGCTCCAGGGGGGGAGCAGCAGTTAAATGGGAGGGAGAAGCGTGCCAGCAGCTCTGGAGCTTGTCCCAGGCTCTCTGGGGTTTCCTGCACTTGGTGTTAAACACACCACCGGGCCTGCATTTTTCAGCCCTATCTGCTCCAAAGTTCCCTGCTGCTTGGCAAGAGAAGCCCTGCAGGGAGCCCGGGGGCAGCGGTCGCTCTCCTGTGCCCGTGCTCAAACTCAGCGATTCCTTCGCACACCTTGCAGCCCCCAAAAACCTCCACCTGCTCAGCGAGGGGTCCACAGGAGAGCAGTGAGCCCCTTGTGGCCCGTGTGGAGCTCAGGGAGCTGAGACGTGTCACGGTGCTGGGGGGCTCTGCCCTGCTCCCCTGGATGTCCCCCAGCTGCCCCAGGAGTGATCTCACCTGAGAGCATCTCCTGTCTGCCCGGGGATTTGCCTTCCCCAGCCCATGTGCTGGGGGGGAGGCAGGGGTGTTACGGGGTGTTACAGCAAGGGGGGTGATGGAGGTGGCCGTGTCCGTCTGTCCGGGGGGAGCTCAGTGTCCGTGGGCTCCTGGACAGCCCCTGGTGTGCGGGGTGGGCTGCGGGTGCCGCGCTGCAGCCAGGCAGCCGCGGTGCTGCTGGAGAGACTGGCTTCCCTTTATCTCCCCGCTGCACCTTTTTGAGGAAATTAAAAGGGTTTTGGCTTGTTAGTGAACTCCTATTGAATGGCTGTAATGAGCGATTTCTCAGTTCTGCCCAGCTCTCCCGCTGCTGAGCCTTTTCAAATTAGCTGAAAACAAGAGGCTGGGAGCTGTGCAGGAGGGGCAGAGGGCTCGGGGACAAGCTGTGGTAACGAAGCTCTGCAGGGAGGGAGGCTGCAAAAAAAAGTCAAACCTCCAAACACGTGCAAGCACCCAAGTTGGAGGGTAAGAAATGCTGGGTTTGGGCTGGGGGACGTGGGTTGTGGTGTGCAGGGCAGTGAGAGACTGCGTGGGGCTGCCCAGGGCATGGAGGGAGTGTGGGGTCAGGCAGCCAGACCCAGGCACCTCTGCTCATCCCTCAGTGCCTGGAAAATCCCATTCACCATAAAAACAAAGCAAAGCGTGGTCACGTTTATTCCGTAATGGGTTGCTTTCCTTTTCACTTTCAGCAAAGTCTATCATTTCTGCATACAGAGAGTGGAAATCGTCATTAAAACTGAATTATGATGGCATTTAAAAGGGAGGATAAAATGTATGGCCAGAGATGCTATTACAGAATACTTCCAGGATAGGTAATTGTGTAATTATTATGGGCAGAAATGAAAGTGATGGTTCATTAAAAGAAAATGACCATGAAATAACAATAAATAAAGGCAAATAATTGCACAGGCTGCCTTGCCCGCGTGCCGGTGGGTGCAGGGCGTGTGGGTGTGCAGGTCCCGGCCGGGGGCTCTGTGGCACAGCCGGGCTCAGCCAGCACCCCCGGGGGCTGCACTTGGGTCGTGTTCACAGCAGGAGGTGAGATCTGCGAGCAGAGGGGCTTCCCCAAGACCCCCACCCTGCCGGGGACTCCCTGGGGCTCCCCGTGCCCTGGGAGGTGGCAGGGGACGAGCTCCTGTCCCCAAGCCGAGGGCAGGCAGCCAGGAGGGCGATGTGACCCGTGCTTGCAGGGGGTGGCACAGGTGCAGGGACGTGGCCTCCTTGTCCCCCTGGCTGCCTGTAGCACGGGGGTGTCTGGGGGCGCAGCTCTGAGCCCGCTCCTCCGCTGCTCATTAACCAGGGCCTGCCAGGATCACTCACGCTCAGGTCATGGGAACAAAGCCTATCCAGCCCCGTTTGGCTAATTTGTATTGTGCTTGTGTGGGCCATTACCCGGCGAAATTCATTGATTTGCGATGCTAACTAGCTTCTAAACCCAGATCCCAGAGGTGATAAGCCAGCACATCAGTTTTCTTTCTTCCTTAATATTTTAATGGCACGGGGAAGGGGGGAGCAGCAGAGCAGCCCGGGTTTCTGATGAACAGCGTGACATTTCTGTGTCGCTGCAGGCTGCAAGCACAGACCTGGCTCTCCCTCCTCCATCCCAAGGGTGGTGCATGGCAGCGAGGCAGGGCCTTGTGTTCAGCTGTGGGGCTGGGGGTGGTGTTCCTCTGCTGGAACCCAAGGCGACACAGCGCGCCATCCCCTCTTGTAGCAAAGCCTGCAGCTCGTTATCGGGCCCCAGTTAATTAATGCGCTCGTTTGTTTCAATAAGGCTTTTGGCTGGGCCATGCAAAACAGCTCCTCATTTTGCTTGGTGGGATGGGAGTGGGAGCTGAAGGACTGGGAGCTCATACGGGTGGGCTGGGGAGCTGCGGCACCAACCTGCACCAACCCGGGGATCCCCCCTGGGGTCAGGGAAGCCCTGTCCATGGCCAGGCTCTGCCATCCCTCAGTCATTGCACGTGTCGGGGGGCTGTGGCCGTATCCCCCTGTGATGTGGCTGTTTCCCCTCCTGCAGTGCACATCGAGCCCGGCACCTGCGAGGTCATCGCGGCTCACAGGTGCTGCAATAAGAACAAGATCGAGGAGCGCTCCCAGACGGTGAAGTGCTCCTGCTTCCCGGGGCAGGTGGCAGGGACGACACGAGCGGCCCCATCCTGCGTGGACGGTGAGTACCACGGCCGGCAGCGCCTTCCTGGTAGCGGGGGGCTTCTGCCTGCTTCAACCTGTCCCGGGACCGACTCGGTCCCACCGCCTGCTGCAGTGAAGCAGAGGGCACAGGGAGGTGTTCTGGGGGGACATTCCCCTGGCCCAGCTGTGGTTGCAGGGAATGGGGCTGCTTCCCCTGCTCATTTGGGAATGAGGACAGGGCTCTGATATTTTGCCTCTTGGGGACAGTGATAGCCAGTGCGATGCTTCGAAGGCAGCTGGATCAAAAGCAGCCCCCATTAGGAGAGGCAGAGCCGTGCAGAGCCAGCCCAGTGGCACAGACCCCAAACTGTCCATCCCCAAAGGATGCGGCTCCTGCATGGCCTGACCCACACGGGGCCTGGACCTGCTGGCTGTGCTGTGTGGGGCCGTGTGTCCCATGGCACCCCCAAACCATCCCCCCCACGCGGTGAGCCCAAACCAGGCCGCGCTGACGGCCCCTCTCGTGCCAGCCTCCATCGTGCTGCAGAAGTGGTGGTGCCAGATGGAGCCCTGCCTCGACGGGGAGGAGTGCAAGGTCCTGCCCGACCTCTCAGGCTGGAGCTGCAGCAGCGGCAACAAAGTGAAGACAACCAAGGTACGTCCGTGCCCAGGGGCAGCCCCGTGGCCATCTCCCAAAACACCCGGGGAAGCAGTCCCTGGAGCTGGCGGGGGGACGGGGCCGCGCGTCTCCTGGGTGCGGGCACACCAAGGCCCACAGAGGGACAGGGCGAGCTCACCCATAGCGGTAACCCCGTGTCGGTCCTGTCGCTTTGCCCATCCAAAACCCCTCGGGTGCAGTGGCTCAGCCCCAGAGGCCGTGTGGGGGCTCCTGGCCCCAAGCCCCTGGGGCATGGGGCTGCTCCGCGTGGCCCCCCGTCCGCCTGCACGCCCCGTCTGCGGCAGTCAGCTGTGACAGGGAGCTACATGATTATTATTTTCATGGCTTGCTGAATGCCCCAAAGAACAAGGTATAATTAAAATTTTATCAAACTCATTAGTAATTACACACATGTCATGGTTAATCAGTTGCATAATTTTGTAATCATTGTTCGTATAGTCGAGTGTAATTATTCCTTATGCTTTAGCTTTTCTCACCCCACATCCCCTGCTGTAAAATTATCGTATTAAAAAAGTGATGTGGGAGTTTTTTTTCATTATTGCTATTATTTTGGAGCACAAAAGCACTTTCCTGCTCAAGTGTTTTTGTGGATGTCTGAGAAGGTTGCTCTGGCCTGGGCACCTTTGACTGACCAGTAATTGCAGCGTGACTTTTAGCTCTTTGTCTTTTCCCCTTCTTTGTACTATTTATTTGTTTTTCTCAGCTGCTAACTGAGCCCGAAGCCTGCCTGTGCAGACAGACCCCAAAGTGGGAGCTGTCACCAGAGCAAGGGGCTCGCAAATAATTCAGGAGCTGAACTTTGGAACAACCACCCTGTCCAACGCAAAGAGCAATTCGCATTTGCACCCGCTGAGGCTGCTCACGTAATTCCTGCATCCAGCATCAGCTGCTGCGTTAGGTCAACTGCCCACTGCCAACAAATTGACCATTCCCATTAGCAAAGACAACACCAAAAAAAACAGTTCTTCAGGAAAAATGTTTCAGACATGAAAAGAAAGGGGCACATGTCCCCCATGGGTAATCTGCTGCTGGGGGAGGTGGGACGTGGCCTCTGGAGACCCCATCACAGACCTTGCTCTTGGTGTCACCGAGGTGCCACGAGGCAGCCAGGGGTTGGCACCAGCCCGACATGTCCCCTCTGCCCACAGGTCACCCGATAGCACCCCTGTGGGGGTCCCCGCTGCATCGCCCGTGCCGTGCCCAGGGGGCGGCGTGCTGTGGTGCTTCCCGTCCTGCGTCCCGTGCCGCCGTCGGACCATGCCAGGTACGGGTTTGGAGCAACTGCTGCCACCCAGCTTCCCGTCCAGGCTGCAAGAATGGGGCCCTGAAGGCAGCTGCAAGACTCCTGCTGCTCCACGGCCCCCTTCTCCCCCATGGACGTGCTCACCGACCAAGGAATGGGCTCATTCTCCCGTCCTCTTAAATAAAATGCTCCGATCATGTAAGAGCTGTTGATGGTTACAAAGACGAACAACGGTCCCCCAAACCGGGCTTTAATCTCAGCTAAAATAGCGAAAATCATTGCTGCAGGAGTCACAGGAGTTACCCCATCTCCAGGATCCCAAATCAGGGTCACCACCAGGAGCTCAGAGGCTGGTTGTGGCAGCACGGTGCTGGCCCTGCAGCCCCGGCGTGGCTGGCGCCGTCCGACACCTCCGGCACCGGAGATGGTAAAAGTGTTTCCGTGGAGCATGCTGCTGGTTTTTCCTTCCTCTGTAATTGCATTAATCAGGCTGCCAGTTTAATATCAGTTCCCCCAGTGCACGTCCCAGGCACCAAATTACTGCTCATGTCCGCAATCAGTCCCAGAAGGAAGGGAGGGGGATCCCCTCCTGCCTGTGAGGTCTGTCACACCGGCCGTGGTGCAAAGCTGTCCGGAGCCCAGCCCGAGCCAGGCATCGTTGTATTGATCCAACCCAACGATATGTGCACCCTGCTCGGCCTCCAGGACACGCCGTGTCCCCGGCCCTGCAGCTGGGGGGCACCGGGGACCCCGTGGTGCCGCTGCCGGGCTGGCCACGGGGGCGTTTCGGTGACGGGGCACGCCGTACCTGCTGCAGACGCGATGTAAATACCAGACTGTGGAAATAATTAAATTCATTTTAATCTCCGCAAAAGAGCTTTTCATTCCAAGGCAGAAGGGGCTGCAAGAGCATTTTTCTCACCACCCACGGGAAAGGTTTGGGGGGGTCCAGGGGCTCTGGCCTCACCTCACTGTTCTCCCTGGTGCCAGCTCCGAGCCTGGTGCTGCCTGGGGTCCGCACGGCACCGCTTCGAGCTGTGGTCCCTTCTGCTGAGCACGGGTGGCATCGCCGGGGGCAGGCTGAGCCTTGTGGGGACGCAGAGCCCTGTTCTTGGCCCCGTGGGGCTCCCCGCGTTATGCCAGAGCGAGCAGAGGTCAGTGCCAGCGTTTTGTGTGACGGACGCGGTGCCTTGAGGCCGAGAAACACAGCGTTGTTAGCGGCTCAGACACTTAGAAGTGATTTTTACTGTCACCAGACCAGAGATGTTCATGCACCAGTTTCCCCACACACCAGATTGCTTTGCCAGGCTCTTCAGTCCTTTGTGTTTTTAAAGTACACAGGATTTAGGCTTTCTTTCAATTCCTTCAATGAGAGGCAAGAAGGAAGAATGTGTTTTGAATGAGAGTAGGGATTTTAATTCTGTGGAGGCCGGTCTGTAAATCAAAGGTAAGGGAAAGATCCCTCAGGTCTGTTGTTTATGTTTGTATTGTCCAGCAGAGGTTTCCTCACAGGATAAATTCTTCTCGCCTTTGCCCCATTGCCTGGGATTTGCAAGGGGGCCACAGAAGACAGAAGCTGCAGGAGCGGTGCCTTTGCAGGTCCCCTGCTGGTTCGGGGCTGGTCACAGCTCGCACTGTGCTGCCTGGGGCTGGGGGCTCACCCCCAAACCCCCCATGTGCGCTGTGGGGTGCGGAGCTGGGCTGCGGCTGATCCCCGAGGCACCGCATCCTCCTGGAGCCACCTGGCTGCCACAGCCCCGGCCAGCCTCATTACTCATGCAACTGCCTAATCCTCTGGCTCAATAAAATCTTTGGGCTGTGACTTACGCTCTCTAATTGCACGTTGCATTAAGGAGGAATACTCTTCCACGTAGCCGACCCGCAGCGGAACAGTTTGGGCTGTGCACAGCGGGCTGCTTCTCGTCCCGACTGCTCTGGTTTTGGGGTGAGTTCTCCTGTGCCTCCCCATTTCAGCACACCAGGATCTGACCAGAGCCGACCCCTCTGCTCCCAATCCAGTGTCACAGCCAGGACGTGCTGCCAGCACCACGGGAACATTTGTTCTGCTTCAAGCCCCGTGCAATTCCTCTGTTAGCAGCAAAGGGCTCGCGTGTTTTGCCAGCAGCTGCTGATGATGCTCGTGGCGCTGCCTGGAGTGTGCTGAGGGGCAGCCGGGTGATGCTGGGGCACGGGCGAGCGCTGCAGGAGCAGGACACGGCAGCTCCTGGAGGAGGGACGCACAGCGGAGCCTCCATCCCTGCAGAAACGGAGCTGAGAGGATGCAGGAACAACGCCAGCAGCTTTGTGTGCCCCCAGATGCAGAGCCACACCTGGGACATCTCGTCTGCTAAAAACAGCAAAGGGAGGGTAGAAAAAAAAATAAAAAATAAAAAAAATCAGAATAACCAGCAAGAGGTTCCCGGTGTCCTGGGCAGCCGACACCATTGGGGGACGGGGAGCAGCTGGTTTGTGTCCCTCTGTGCTTTCAGGCTCGATCCAGCTGGCTGGAAAATGGCATTTCATCGCTGTCCTCAGCATCTGTGGGTGCAGAGGGGCTTCTTCTGACTGCTCCTGGCTCTGCCCTTTGCAGCTGCTAATGGAGCTGGAAGTTTTAATTGATTCTCCTCCTCCGGTCAGGCACTGACTTCACTGTCTGCACAAGCATGGAGCGTGCCCTCGGGTCTGCTCCCGATGTTTCCCTGGCATTATTATTCCTTGCTGCAGTTACTGCTGCCAAGGCTTTTAGGACTAGTCTGAGTGCCAGTGAATTCTGGTCAGGGACATTTAAGCAGAGAGATGCCAGAAGTGCATGAGCACGGAGCAGGCCTGGAAGGCAGCAGCAGGCAGAGGCTCGCTGAGGCCGTGGAGCTCGTTAGACCCCGTAAAAGCCCCATTGAGCACGGGTCCTGCAGCCCTGTGGGTGCTGGCGAGCATCACGGCTGCAGTGTGCATGAGCTGCAAAGGGTGTGCGAATTGGGCTGCCCTCCAAGCAGATCTCCAGTGCATTGGCTCCATTTTGTAGGCAGGTCTTCAGCCACAAATGAGCTGCACCTGGAAATGCCCACATGCCCGTCCCCAGCCAAACCTGCAGCTGTTCCCTATTAGTTCAAACGATCTCTGGGCTCTAGGGCTGGTGAGCGCTGGTTTCATGCCTGCCTCACTCCAATATTGAAAGCAGCCCACGTGAGGGAAAGAAAAATGTCTGTTCTGGCCAGCAGAGGCTAATGAGCTCATAGCAATCCTAAAACGATGAGCATTAAGGTCTCTAGGACTGGCTTTGCTGAGCACATCCCGCACCCCATCCCCGCTGCCCCGGGGTGGTGTCCCTGTCCCTCCTCCCCAGGGCAGGCTGGATTTGTACAGCCCCCACCTGGAGGCTGCCCCCTGCCCAAAGCCCCATCTGCCAAATGCTCGGTGGGAGGCTGTTATTTGTAATAACAAACACAACTTGCCTCTGTCAGCTGCTGGGAGCATCCCTGCTTGGCTAAGCGTAATTGCAGTGGGTCCGTACCGGTAAGGATCCACTCTGCACAAGCACCGAGTGTGACACCTACATGGATACAGGAACGTTTTATTGCCCACGTAATAGCCACCCGTAGCACTGATTTTTCACTTACTGCAATACGTGGTTTAGGGAATAAATAGCCCCTTGGTGTCTCTGCTGAGTGCTGACCTTGCCTGTTGGGTACCACTGTCAAAGCGAAGTATACAAATACTGAAAATCACCGGCTCCCCTCCTGACAGGTGAATGCCTCCCAGAGGGAGCTGCAGCAGCTCTTCCATCTCCCTGCTCTCAGGGAGGGTCCCGGGAGCAGCAGCACAGCCAAACCCAAGCTGAGCGTGGCCTTACCACGCAGCGTGTGAGACACCGGGGGGGTTTGTGCTGCTGAGGTCTGTAAGTCACCGGAGGGGCCGTTAGTCACTGGAACCCATCTCAGTTAAGGTGCTTTCAATATCATCTCCCTGGGTATTATAATTATGCCCCATTCAATTAGTCTTCAGGGAAAAAAAAAAAAAATATAGCCCTTTGTATTAAGGTTTGGCGGAGAATTATTAGAGGGTGAATTAAAAGACTAGGATCCCGTTTTACTTCACAATAATAAAGGCATAATGTATAAAATACCAAAAATTACAAGCTGATTAAATTTAGAGCTGTGCTAGGTGGTGAAATGAAAGGTAAAATGAGACCCTTAGAGCAGCTACGACGTGCAGTACGAGGGGGTGTATTATCTGAGAAATAAGATGGAAACATAATTAACCATCCAGCATTACGCTGAGAGATGGAAAATTGAAATGGGAGAAAAAATTAGGTGAAATTGCAGAGCAGGCTCATTTATTTCGGCTTTATAAATCAGCTCTACCTGTCAGCAGCAGCGCGGGGCTGCTCGGAGCAGGAGCTGTCCGAGGGATGCCGCGGCGGGGAGCTCGTGGCGGGGAGCTCGCCCCACCCAGCGCGGTGTCCCCAGGGAACCGCACGACTGCCCCGGTGCCTCTCTCTCCTTCAGCCCCTGGTGAGTGATGGCTGAGGCTGCTCTGTGCCCGGCCAGGGCCTGTCCCCTTCCCAAAATTGGTTTGCTTTCCCCCAAGTTTTGCTGCTGTTGCCACCCTTGTTACTCCTGCCAGCATCACTCCCTCCGTCACCTCTCCAAAGACTTGCCTTCAGTGGCCTCTTGCAACGATGAGTTCAACAGCCCAATTTAGGGCTGGAGGAACATTTTCTTTTACTGCCTTTAAATTTCTTCCTTTCAGACTTAATTGGATCTCTTTTCCTTGTAGCAGGAAGAGAGAAGTAACCTCTGCCACCTCCATCCCACTGCTGCCATTCAGTTTGCTCCTGCCTGGCCACTTGGTTTATTGCAGCTTTTACAATGGATTCAAACGAGGACAAGAAAAAGTTTTGTCTTTTCCAGAAGCCACAAGATTTTTGCTAGAATCACAGCAGCTACAGAGAAGATTCGCCATGCAGCTCCAGTGCCGTGTTTAGGAATGCAGGAAACCAGCCGGCGTATCAGACCCGGAGCAGTGCGCCTCGTCCTGCTGCCAGGGGAAGGCACGCGCAGCGGCGTCGGCACTGGTGCGTGTTTGCACGTGTACCTGAGGCTTCATATTTTAAATAGCTTCAAGTTTGCTAGCATCTCTTGCTAAGAAACTGGGTACATTTTTCCCTCTGTTGTTGGGGCAAGGCAGAGGCAGCCCCAGCCCCGCTCCTGGCACAGCCCTGCTGCAGGCACCCTCCTCTCACCCATGCTGCGACTTAGTAAAAGTGCAACTGCCCAGTGTTTGCTCTGGTTAATAAACTGTGATGGCGTTGTTTGAAGCATTAGATGGCTCTGCCAAAAAAATGCAGCCTCATGTTTTATTCAAACGTGCATTTGTGGGGATGTTCTTAAGGGAGAGAATAAAATATTAATTTGGATGTTACGGGGTAATAAAAGCGGAGCCAGGGCGCAGCCCACGCTGCCGGCACGGACCCTCTCCAGCTCTGGATTGCCCAGCACGTTTGGAAGTGCTGGCAGCTATGCCACCCCCAGGCCAAACGCGTGCAGGGCTGGGGAGGGCTGCACGGGCACCAGCTCGCTCTGGGCAGACTATTTACTGACGGGATCAGGGATTAAAGTATATTCTCATTTCTATAAAGTGATTTCTAACCTTGTTTTCCTGCTGGGAAGGCTGCAGTGGCTGGAGGAGAAACGGCACCGCTGGCTTGTGCAAAGCAGCAAGGGAGATTGCAATTTAATTTGAGCATTTCCCAGCTTGTTGTTAATCTCCCGATTTACTGCTGGTATTTGATTTCTGTAGCATTACTTCATGATAAAGGGATTAGCCAGGACCATAGGTCTGGTCTTTGATGCTCATCTGCTGGGGATTACTGAGAAATTTTGTAGTTAGTTAATGGGTCAAATAAGTAAAAAATGAAAATATGTGTATAATTTTGTTGACATTTGCAGGACCACATTAAATCCGTGATCTAGCACTTGCTCTCCTGGCCCATTTGGCATCCCCTGCCCCCATCTCATGGGGTCCTGATCCTTTACCTCCATGTCCAGAGCCCCAGAGCCATAAAGCAAGAGCTGCTCTGCTGAAAGCATCCCTGGCTGCCTGGCTGCTGCTCTGGCACGCTCCTGCCTGCGGGGCCAGAGCCACTGAAAGATGCTCCTGGGAGAAGTGGTCTTTGCCAAGCGTGGAGGAGAATCTCCCTTCTCCGGCAGAAGGGTTTTTCCAGTTTTAATCCAGGCCAGCAGCCTGGGCAGCCACCGGGCACGATGCCCCTACCTGGAAGGGCAAGCACACAGCCACGGTCCTGCTGAGCCTCCAGAAGTGTTTCATGAGCAGGGAGACACAGAATTGATTCATTGGTAGCAGGGTGAGCTGCACAGAGCCAGCACCGAGTGATGATCCAATTAAACACTCGTCGATGCTTTCGTATTAGTGGGCGCTAAGTCAATCAATTATTTAAATAGCACGGGAACGATGTCCTGTGATAATTAAAGGGGCTGAAATCATGTTGCGTTAACAACAATAATAAATATTATGGATACTCAGTTCTTTTTAAAAAAATAAATGATTTCCTGAGCTCTGAAATCGTTCCAGGAGTTGCAAGGCTGAGGGGATATGAATATGGATCAGTGGGATTATTACACATACCAGCACCAAGGGACAAAATTAGAGAGTGTTTAAAATTCTCTGCAAAGACAAAATGTAGAATCTGAAAACTTTTGCAATCATTTATAATAATGAAATTTTGATTAGAAAGCCAGAATCATGCATAAATTACTGCACCAGCCTTCAGGGCCAAACAGCAGCACAGGCGCAGTGGGTGCGGAGGACACGCTCTGGCTGGGGCCGGCACGTGCAGGGGAAGGAAGCCTTCTCCGGGTATTTTCTGCTCTTCCATAGCAGAGAAAACAGTATATAAATTATTTAAACAGGCAGAAGATAATTAACACTAATCAATCTGGATTCTGCCCAGGTTATAGCTCTGCAAGAGCATTAATCTTACTAATTACTTAATATCACTAACACAGATTTCAGTGAGTGCAACAATGCATTCAGTGAATTCAGCTTTGAGTAATAGATGTAAAGTGATTGATTTTGCATTGAAAAGCCCCTCGGTACCGCAAATCTGACCATTTTATTAATCAAATTATCACTTTTAGGTCATCCAGGAAGGAGCAGCTCAGTCTTGCAGGGAAATATTTCATTACACTGATGGGTTATTCCTGCATTGCATTAGAGACTGTTATTTCAAGAACATAAAGAAGAAATTAGACCAAATTAACAATATCTCTGATGACTTAGATTACAGGGTGAGCACTGAGGTTAAAAGCATCGGTCTGACCCATGAAATCTGAGCTCACATCTCGCTCCGTGGTGCATCCAGAGGGTTTGGGCAGGGGCTGCCAGGCACGTGGGCCAGCAGCACGAGCCCTCGGCAGCGCTGCCCCAGATGCCGTTGGCGGTGCCTGTCCTTGCACACAACACCCAGCATGTGCCAGGCTTTAGTTGGTGCCATCTGGCCTGAAAGAGGCTTCTGAGCAATTGAGGTCATTGCGGATATTTACAGCCCCGGCGGGCCCTGATAGCTGCCGAGCAGGCAGAGGCACCGCGAGCTGCGAGGCTCGAGGGTTTTTGTGCCAGCTCTGCCCTGCACCCCTCACATATGGCACAGGCAGCAGGACAAGGAGCTGCACCCACCCTGCTCGCCCCCTCCTGATACCTGCCCGTGACAGCGAGGGGTGTTCGGGGCAGGTCATGGTGTTGCAATCCGGTGGGTTGGGAGCACGGGGACCTGGTGCACACCGGGCTGTGTCAGCGCCTCCCACCCCCAGCTGCTGTCTCCGAAGCCACCAGGCAGCGCAGTCTGTTACGTTTCAGCCTTTCCGCTGTGCAAGGCACAGAAACCAAGAGAAATGAAAAGGTGAGAATGCGTTATTGATTAATTACTTAGTCATCTCCTGGCTGTTATTGAGCACGGCTGTGACTTTGACAAATTGCTCCTCAATTCTTGTGACTGATGTGCGATTTGAATAACGCAGTTTTACGAGGCTCCTGTTAGAGGGTGACGTGCAGTGTGAGCCGGTGTCTTGCAAAAGGCGACGGTGTCATGTTCCAGTAATTGATGGCATTTGCAAGTGGTTAGCCAAAAAATAATTAAGCAGTGTGATATTTTGTTTGAAAGGGACTTTGGGTTAATTAGTTGAGCTGAAGCTGAGATATCAGCTTTTTATTGTCATATTGACAAGCGAGCTGCTGCCATCGCCACACGGTGTGGGACCAAAGACTGGGCCAGGGGACACCGGTTCTGTCCCCGAGGTTCCCTCAGGACAGCCAGCTCTCTGCAGGCTGAAGCTGTCCCCACGGAAGGCGCCGTGCGGCCGTGCCATCCGGCCGATGTTGGGCTTTGGCTCCCCGCCTTCCCTTTGGACCAAGGACCTCGCACAGCGGAGCACGGGAGGCACACGCAGCGCAAACCTGCATTTTCTAAAAGGAAACACAGTAAAAATCCTTCTCAGGAAATTGGAAGATTAACCACCTGTGGATGCTGTGCCTGGTGGCCCTCACCCTCAGCGCTGGTCATTTTATCTTTAAATCCCGAGCAGTCAGTAGGGAAGAGCAGGACAGCAGGGCCCAGCTTGGCCAGGCTGTCTCCAACAAACAGCATCTGGGAGAGCAGGGAACGTTCGGTGCCGCAATAGGCCATTCCCATAGACCAGAAGGCAAGTGGCCTCATAAAGAAGGATTTCACACTATTTAAACAATAAAACCCCTGCTGGCTGCCTGGGGAAAAGAGCATTTACCACAAAAAAACTGCGATTTGAAAATAGTCACTGCCAGCACTGTCCCAGTAAAGGCTCGTAGCAGGGGGAGAAGCCATATGAGCCAGTACAATAAAAGCCACTTCGTGGAAATTAATTACCTGTCTGAAGTCCATCACAGTCAAGTGTCCGCGAGCACTGACAGCCATCTGGGTGCACCAGGAGAGCCGCACAGAGGAACAGGCTGGGGGCACGGAGGGTGCTGAGCGCTGGCCCCCAGCCCCACCACCCCGAGCAGGGACAGGACCGGGTGCCGGGAGGTGGGTGCCGTGGTTGTGGCCCCCCAGAGCTGCTGCCCGGGCTCCTGGGAACCTCCACCACCCGTACCCCAGCCGGCGGCTCTGCCGATCGCTGCGCAGTAATCAATAACTTGCTGTTTAAACAAACTGCCTTTCTGTTCCACTTAGAGTCATTTCCCTCGTGTTTCACTCGGCGCTCCAGCCCCAATTTTACATGTTTAGCAAACTGTGCTCCTTGCTGCTTGTGCTAATCACCGGGCTGCCAGCAGCACGCCTGTGTGGAAGCGCGCTCTGATGTGAGCTATTTCTGTGAGCCTGACTCACTTTTGTTAGCGCCTTCTTCATTTGAGACCCTGTCTGGAGAATTGCCATCCCAGAGCTCTCTGCCTGGAGTGAGCAATTATTGACAGTACACAGGGAGAGGAGAGTTTTAAAGGTGCCAAGCCTCGTAATGAATATTTTAACTGCTTTGCTGGACTAAATTCAGCTTTCACGACACAGACTGGAACCAGTGGCCCGGTACCAAATGAGAACAGGCATGGAGCATACCCAAAACCGTAACATCCCAACAGTGCATTTTTAAAGAAAGCTGTGCTTCAGCAGGACAAGCTGTGCCATCGGATTGCCACCCATGCCTGGCTTCCAGGCACGCTGCTGCCAGGGCTGCCTCCCACAGCCTGGGGCTCGGCAGCGTGCTGCCAGATGTCGGAGTGAAAGGAGAACAAGGAAACCTTCCCCTGACAGCATAAGTCACTGTTATTTGGGGTGGGGCCGTGAGGCTTGGAGTCAGGTTTCCCCCTCTATTAATCAGTATTTGTGTTGGTTTTAATTAGTTTTGATTGCAGCTTACAAATGTAAATGCATCTCCCATGACATCTCCCTCACCTCCTGGGAATACGAAATGAGTGCTCAGCGTAGCGGCATCTGTGAATTATGCACAAGAAAAACAAACAGAAAAGCTCCTTGTACACCCAAACTGCTGCTGGCAACCGCCTTCCCTTGTGTGTGGGGATGAGCGTGCCATGGCCCCCAGCTGCATTTTCACCAGCCCCACAGGCACGAGGAGCACGAGGACACCAAGCCCCAGTGGCTGCACCAGGCACTGGGTGCTGGAGGAAGGAGTCCTTTGGGGAGCAGAGCAGCCCACCACCATTTCCAGCCCACTGCTGCCACCAGCCCGGGCACCAGGCCACCAGGCTCAGCCCTGGCCGCAGGCTGGATCTCTCCTCCCCATCGGCTGAAGGAAATTTTCCTCGCCAGGAGGTTAATGCACTTGGTTCGCCACCCACAGGGATATCATCTTTTTTATTAGTGCTTGCCATTTTACAGTTTAATTAAGGTCACCCAGTGGGCCTGTAAATGACATCTTAATTAATGGCCCCCGATATCTGCCAGTGCCAGCCAGCCTTGCTACAGGGCTGGTACTGGGAGAGAGCGACCGAGCCATGAGGCACCTGTGGGTGCTGCCCGGCAGGGAAAGGGCTACAGACACTCACTGTGTGTGTGCACGTGTGTCCAAACAGGAGCAGCAGAACCACGAGCATCTCATGCATAAGCAGGGCAAGGCGGCTGTGCTGTCCCTGCCTGCTAATTGCTGTCATTAAGACTGGGGACGGGGCCACCCGGGCTGTGCTGCTCCCACCAAGGAGCAGGGCTGCGAGGGGCAGCACGGGGGGTGCTGCCTGCCAGTGGGCTGGGGGCACAGCTGGCCACCCGTGCTGGTTTTGGGCAAGCACTCAGTCAGAAGGAAAGCCTTAAGCCCGGTGCTTTTGCATTTCCAGACTGATTTCCTGGGAACAACCTGTCTGCTCTAGAGGTGGATTTTCTTGCTGTAACGTGGTGCTGCCTGAGATTAGTTCCTGTAAATAACCGGCAAACTAAAAGACCAAAAAAAAAAATCTTTCCACTCCAGAAGGACAAGCAAGAGGGATGTAAGGAGGGAGAGCCACTTGCTGCTAGGAGCAGCAGAGCAAGCCAGCACCGTTCCCAATGTCCCCTTGCCAGCAGCAGCATGTCACGCCGTCAAGCCTTCCCTCTCTCACTGCTGCTTCTTTCCCCGTTTGCCCTTTCCTGGCAGCGTGGGCTGGTGCAAAGGGCTGCCGGTGCCTCCTGGCTCCTTTCCCCACACCAGCAGCAGAAACCTGTATCGGGACCCCTGGCTTTTATCTGCAAACCATGAGATAATGTGGATGCCACCTCGGCAGCTCGTAAATCCTCAGCGGGGAGCAGCGCGCCCAGCCTGGCGGCGGGCAGGGGCCTTGGGGACTGCAGCCTGGGCAGGGCACGGATCCGATAAACACAGGCTGTAAATCAGCACAGGGTGCAAAGCGGGGCCGTGATTTGTGTGTTAGCCAGGTACATCAACCCATGGCTTTCCAGAGGAGTGTACGAAGTGGATGTCCCGGCAATCAGCCGCTTGGCTTGGGGTGTCTGACACAGCGACGCGCTTGAGACTCCTTGGTGCGCCCAGACCCATCCATCTCGTGATTTATGACTCAGCTTTGTGACTTATTTCAAAGTCAGTCGTAGTTCAGAGTCGGCCCATAATTCAGACCCGTCACGTATCCGTCAGTGACACAGAACTTGGATAAGTCGGGGATAACTTCAGAATTAATTGTGTTACTTATGAAGTTACTGACATGACTTATAAATTGCCATATGGTCAATAAATCAGGGAGACACCTGAGAAATTCATCATATTTTTTTTTTCCAGTCAGAAACTTCATATGCCTTATAAATCAGATGTTTGAACAGCTCATCGTACATCAAACCCACACTTGGAATACGGCTTTTCGGGGAGAATATATATTTATGGAGTATCTGTCTCAAACTGCTTAACAGGGTTAAGGAAAACATAAGGGCAAATGAAAGTGAAATGTGTGAAGAGGAGCACGCAGCGTCGTGCCGCAGCCCTCAGCACCCTGCCCCAGGTGGGATGGGGGAGAACGAGAAGGGTGAACGGGCTGAACTCGGGGGCTGAGACAAGGACTGCCGGAGGACAAGCCTTTTTGAGGAAAATCAACTCTCCCAGCCCAAACCGAGACACCCCGGTGTAGGACGAAGGCTTTAAGGGATTGCCAGGGCTCACCGGGGACTCGTGGGTTGAGCCTACAGAGCTGCTCAGTGCTGTCTGCTGCTGCTGTTTCTATCAGCCCCCTGCTCAGAAAATGTAACAAATACGCTCTTAATGATAACAATCAATACATTCGATGAAGAATCGGATTTTATTTAATGTGCAATTCACTTAGAGCCTGACACCTCTATTTAGATTTATTAAAGCAATTCTTGTAGGCTGAGCCAGTACCGATTGATTCCTTGAAATACATTTTAGTGGGACTTTAAAATCACAGCAAGATAGACGTTTTCTATATCCTGCATTTAAACTGCTACAAATACAACATGTTCTTATCAGCGGGTTTCCTTTTAGAATACAGAATCACCCTATTTTTGTTCTGTATAAAAGGCACGGAAGAGAGTATTTAGGATATATTTAAAGGATGGGGTGTTTTAATAAATCTGTGGGCAATTTACCATAAATTACACATGGAAATGTAAAATCTAATCAACTAGTTGCATAACCAGAGCCATATGTGCAGGAGTCTCACTCCTGAAAAAAAAATAAGAAAGAAAAAAAAAGGCAAATTAAATGAATATGTTGGAGATGATTTGAATATATCAAGCAGATTTTTAAAGCATTTCCCTGAGAAGCGCAGCCTGCACAGAGCCGTGTCACTAACAGAATGGGAATAGTTGCCAGTAAATATTTACATTAGCAGCGTTTGGTGGGAGGACGGGGCTGCGGGCAGCACACCCCTGGTCCCCAGCCTCTCGTGCTCACCCTTCTCCTCGCTGCTCCTCCCGGCAGCTCTGCCCAGCCCCGGCTCCTGCAGCCCTTTTCTAGGGGCTGCCCAGGCATCCCAGCGTGGCAATGGGGTAAAAACACTCGCTCCCAAGAGCTCATCCCCTGCACCCACACCTGGAGCTTCAGCTTGGTTTTCGCCCTGCGTGAAGGGCTTGGTGAGGGGTGGCAGTCTGCTTTCTCTGAGCCCTTAAAACCCGTGGGTGAGAAGTGCCGGAGAGCTGCTGCCCTGTGATGCTGCCCCTGAGGACTGCGGGGTGTGGGGAATGCAGGGACCCGGTGCTCATCGTCCTGGTGCTGCTCGGGGCTGGCCAAGGTGTGGTCTCCTCAGGTGCAAGGACACCACAGCTGTAGCTGATTCACGAGATGCCAGCATCCACAGCAAACCCCTCCTGGTGCACAGAGCTCCCTGGGGGCTGTGCATGGGATCACTCCCACCTGAGCCCCATTTTCTGGCTGTGGACCAGGTGGTGAGGCCATCACCCATCCCAGCTATCAGCACGGTTTTCTTACGGGTAGAATGAAGGCCTGATGATAGCTGTTAAAAATCCCACAAACAACAACAACAACAAATCCAACAGAAGCCACGACTCCGTAGTGATGTGCTGCTCGGTTTCTATGGGAACGGGCTGAGCTGGTTGATGAGAAAACCACGTGCAGAAGAGGCAGGAAAAGAACTGAGTGGTGCTGCTGATGCGGAGATTAATTGCTGTGACTCAGGCTGGGCTTTTATATAATTTGCAGCCATCCCAAAAGGTGCCTCAGAGCCTGAGCTGGGATGTAATGAGGAGATGTTCACGGGAGAACAATCTAATCACTTGTTGCAGTGATCCAGGCTTCTACTTAAAAAAAAAAAATAAAAAATCTGAGTGGGTGATTTATTTTTGCCTGTTGGTTTCTAAATCACCTGCAACTTCACTCACAAAGATCACCGCTAAGGCTGGGGAGCACCTGCTGCCTTGGGATGGGAACGGGACCTCCCTGCCTTCATCCTTGCTCTCCTTTTCGTACCAGGATCAGCCAGGCTTCAACAGCGCAGGCACCTTGTGTGTGGGAGAAGCTTCCAGTCGTGGGAGGACTGAGATGTCCCATGGGACTCTGTGTCCTGGTCCTGGCAGGGTGTCCCCTGCCACAAACCCTGTCCATCCCAGCACCTTTATTCAAAAAGGGATAAAGGAGCCCCTGCTCCCTGCACCAGCACCAGTCCCAGCAGGCGGGAGCGGCTGCCCAGACGTAGATGACGAGCTCAGCTTCCCCGGCTGGAAATAACGAGCCCAGCTGCAGCCTCATTTGAAAAGAAAATGCATTTGGAAACCAAAATTAGACCCAAAGCTAAAAGATAAACTCTGTTGTAAGCACTTGTAAGAAAGAGTTTAAGAAAAGGATTAAAAGGGATTTGCTGGGTCCGTGAGACAGGGGAGCTCTGTCAGAAAATCTGATTATCTGCGCCCGCAGTGCTCAGCAAAGCGCCGCTGAGGCTGCTGCTGGCACCGAGGCAGATTTTTGGCCCCGGTCCCCACGTACTGGCAGGGCACAGGGCCAGGGCAGGACGCAGAGCCCAGGGGGACAGGCGAGGTGTTTGTCCTCTCCCTGCTGGGTGATGCTCACATGCAAATCCGGAGATATTACTTGTGTGTCAGCGGCTGTTGAATTATTCATTGATGGAAAAATCACCAGGGACCAGGCAAAGGAAAGCACAGTA